ACGTCGTGTATGGGCCGACATTGCTAAAGAAAGCTCCAAACATTAGCCAGGCCTCTTCTCTATTCGATCAAGGCCTTTGGCGCTGCTGCTCGGGCCATTAGACACTCCAAATCCTCCATGGGCTTCGTTTACTCGCTTACCGGACATGTCTCGGTAGAAAATAAGTCTAGGCCTCATAGTTGATCCAAATGGCTTCATTCCACTTCGACGTGATGCATGACTCAAGTATCTATCTTTCCATATCAAGATCGTAACTTTTGGACGTCGGGAACTCCTCCGCGCGGCCAAACTTCCGAAGCTTCGTTCTGCGCGCAAGCGAGAACTAACACTTGGAGATAAAATGATCTTCTTGACTTGGAAACTTGCATGGATCTTGATTTAGGGCTCTTTTACTCCTTTTTGCATCCTTTTTGATTATTTCACCTACAAAGACTTCAAATCCCACAAATACAAGAAAACTACCTCTAAAGGCAAAGAATCTTGCAAAAACCGTTTGAAAACATAGGTAAATATATAGTAAAATCATGTAAAATATGGTGATATCACCTAGCGTTCCCCTTTATTGATTTTCATAAAACGTTTAGTCCGCTGTTTGATTTACTTTGTTACGCAATCGAAAACCCTAAATCATACTTGTTCTCTAGCTATATTAGACTTGCAATACTCGAAGTGTACTTATCTGCTCGTGTTCGATACCCGTTTACTACTTCTGACCTGTGCACTTGCAGAATCAGGGATAGGAAAGGGGAAGACCTGTTTATTTCTTCTTTCATTTGATGTTTATTTCAATGCATTTGGTTGTTTATTTCATCATGTGTAGTGAGTAGTTACCCATTAGGGTTTGAGATGGGATAGATTAGAGGTTTCATATGCTTAATCCTTCTAGCTTATGGTCTTAATCTAGATTCTCTCTCTTTTGGATAGATCTTAAGGCTACATGACCACTACCCCTGGCTTGTAAGTCCTTAGGCGATTCTCCACATGGAAGTGATGGAATTCGCTGGAAAAGATCCACTAAGAGCTCCAATATCTCTTGCTCTAGAAATAGAGGTCTAAGGGGTTGGATGGATTAGTTTGGGCAATGATCCTATGGCCTCCAAGGTTTGATTCTCACTGGCTAACCCCCTGTTTCTGAGATCATTCCTTGGTTGATAGCCTCCACCTTGGGAAAGGGTTGGCTAGGCATTGAGAAGCCCAATATCAAGAGAAGCCTTGATACAAGGAGTTTTAAGAGCTAGATGATTAAGTGTAGATTCCTTTGGTTGCAAAACCCTGTCTTGAACCCTAATTCTCTCTTTATCTTGTTAAAGTCGTGCCTTTACTGCTTTTTCTCAACTCGACCCACAACTCGATCGAGCTCGGTACTCTGTTCCCAACTCGACTCGAGTCCTTGGTCGAGCTGACTTATTTACTGCTTTGTTTACTTTTACTGCATTGCATTTTCATTTTTAGGTTGTTAGTGTTACCCTATATTTACTGCTTGCTTGACTTTCTGGTTGTTTCATATTCTCATAGAGTGAAATTTCCCATTTTGGATTGATAACCCTTTATGCTATCAACTATCATGGTTAAAGGGAATTGTTGACTGTGTTTGTGTTTCCATGGATTGCCAAGTGAAGACCCCATTGACCACCTTGATGAGTTTGATAGGCTTTGTGATTTGACAAAGATCAATGGTGTCTCTGAAGATGCCATCAAGCTGAGACTCTTTCCTATGTCTCTAGCTGACAAAGCTCACCAATGGGAGAAGAGCTTGCCCCATGGCACAATCACCACTTGGGATGAATGCAAGAAGGCCTTTCTTGCTAAAGTTTTTCTCCACCGGTCGCACAGCCAAGCTTAGAGGAGAGATATCCAGCTTCATCCAGCGAAACAATGAGACATTCGCAGAGGCTTGGGAGAGGTTCAAAGGCTACACAAGTCAGTGCCCACACCATGGATTCAACAATGAATCCTACTCTCCACTCTTTATAGAGGATGCTTGCCTAGGTATAGGGAGATGCTAGACACAGCTAGCAATGGGAACTTCCTCAACCAGGATGTAGATGATGGCTGGCAACTTGTGGAGAACATAGCTAACTCAAATGGAAGCTATGGAGAAGAGTATGATCGCACCAACCGGAGCTCGACCCACCACTCGATCGAGTCAGACGAAAAGTTGAGAAAAGATGTTAAGGCATTGAATGAGAAGTTGGATAAGCTGATCCTAGCTCAGTCCACAATGAAGAAAGTCAACTTTGTGTCTGCTGAGGAGATGGAACCAGTCCAAGAAGGGGAGGATACACAATTTGCTGAGGTGTGCTACATGAGCAATGGGCAAGGAGGTTACAACAAAGGATACTATAACTACAAGTCCAACCCTGCCATGTCATACCGCAACACTGATGTTGCTAACCCTCAGGACCAAGTCTATCCTCAACAACAAGCAGCTCGATCGAGTCAAGCCACAACATGGGTATGGTCAAAAGAACAATTACCAAGGACCACAAGGCACTTTCCCTGGACAACAAATGAATATCCCACCAGGCTTCCCCCACCAACCGCCCCAGCCTGCACCTTCACAAGAGAATGAGCTCAAGGCAATGCTAAAGCAACTACTTCAAGGGCAAGCTGATGGGGTAGTGGACACAAGCAAGAAGCTAGCTGAAATAAACTCTAAGATCGAGAACCTCAACACAAGGGTTTACTCTCTGGAGAATCATGCTTCTTCTGTTGCTGCTGCTACAAAGCAAGGACAACTACCTGGTAAAGCTATTCAGAACCCCAAGGAACAGTGCAAGGTCATCTTCACTCAAGAAGGACTTGTTGAAGAAGAGGATCAAGAAAGGGTCATTGAAGATTTTTGTTTACTGCTGAATGATGAAGAGATTGTTGCTGCTGAGGCTCCTGGAGTCCAGATTGATCAACCAGAAGTGCATGCACCTACTGTGGCCATTCACACTTCACCAGTTGAGCTCGCACGACAAGCTCGATCGGCAGCTCGATCGAGTCCAACTCTAGCTCGATCGAGTCCGACCTCTTCTGTCCGAAGCCTGTTTTGCTTGATCCTTATCAACCGGTTGCCGCTTCCTCGTCTCGCCTACTTAGTCAAGGTCACAAGGAAGTGATTCACAAGTTCAGAAGAGATCTCAGTGGGATTGGAATTGAGTTGCCTCTATGGATAGCATGAGTGAGGCATTTGATCAAATGCAAATGGTCAAGGATGTTCTAGCCAACAGTGATAAAGTTTCAGAGGTCCTACAAGAGTCTACTCATCAGTTCAACCTGCTTACTTCACCCACCTTCCTACCAAAGGTCAAGGATCAAGGGAAATTCACTCTCCCTTGCACACTTGGGCATCTTGAGATTGACAATGCCTTAGTGGATTCTGGAGCAAGCATCAATCTGATCTCTCTCTCCATGGCAGAGAAGCTAGGCATTGCTGGAGCCTTGCAGCGCCCTACTACTTCAATCATGTTTGGAGATGCAACTTCTAAGTCTCCTCTTGGAGTGTTCAAGAACTATCACTTGAAAATTGGAGAATGCATCATCCAAACTGATCTCACTGTGATGGAAATGGAAGAAGAGAAGGATCTATTGGGAACCCCTTTCCTTAGTACAGTTGGCGAGACTTTCACAAGCAAGAAGTGATCCTTCACAAGGTGAATAGTTTGGTGTCATATCGCTTGCAGCCTAGAGGTTCAGACTTTTGTGCCACAATTGACAGTACCAATCTCAGTTCTAAGAGTCATGGAGCTACAAAGGTTGTGAAGGAAAGGGTTGACAAGGAACCAAGAGTTGGGAAGGATAAGGATGAGAGAGGACCAAGGATTGAGAAGCCACGTCTTGAGAGGGCTAGAGTTGAGAAACCACGATCTGATAGGCCAGAGCTGATAGACTTGTTCAAGCCCCTTGTGTGCTTGATGAAGAGAGCCTTCAAGCTTTGTTTGATGAGCCACTAGGAAGGGCTCTAAAAGAAGGGGAGGATGCAGCCTCTAAGGCAAGACCAGGAGATAAAAGAAAGGATCCACCAGCTCAGGCCCCTTCAGTCAAGCCATCTCAGCTCACAATGACTTGTTCCCCACCAAGTTTGAAAATGGGAAGATTGAGTACAAGATAAGGTACAAGGGGAGATCAAGGCCATTCTCTAGAGCCAAGGCCTTGGTGACTTCAGAACAGTCCAGGGACCCAACCAAGCTAAAGGAGCTTCTGTCTCAAGTCCTCACTATCACCCTTGATGGTTGATGTGGAGTCAGGTTTTACCAAACTCCTAGACCTCTGCAAGTGCACAGATCGCGGAAGTATGGGTATCGAACACAAGGACTGGCTATTGAGTACACTTTGAACTATGGATTTTGGATCAAGCTAAAACAAAAGTATGATTGAGGTTGTAATGGTGAACCGAACTAGCAAGTATAACGAGGTTGTAAATCAATAAAGGAAAAGCGCTAGGTCATAGGGGCTATCGCAGAGAAGCAAGCAATGATCAATGAAACAATGATAGATGAATTGATTAGGGATGTTGGGATATTAAGAACCGTCTAGAACACAGATCACGAATATAAAACCATTCCACTTTCGAGGCTCCGGCTCCTTTGTTAATCTACCTAGTCGCTAAACTTTTGGTATGTCCCTAGGTGATTAAATCAAGCTTTAGAATGAATAGGTTCTGATACAGTTCACTAGATTATAGTAGATCAACTTTCGCAGTCTAAGAAACCTAGCTTGTCAAAGAATATGTCCGGCGAATGATACAACACTGTCGAGGCTCAAATCAACCTAAGATCGGATTACTAGATGCGCGGTAAAGCAATCAGCATTAGTTAAGTGCACAAGACGAGACAAAGACTCTAATATAATCCCTAGCTAATCATTGAAATCAAAGATCATGCAAGCAACTCATTGAATAGTAACCCTAGCAACCTAACTAGTGGATTACTCAGACATGATCAAAGCAAACACACATAGAGATGAAGAAAACATGATTGCAATAAAACTTAGAGTAGGAAATCGAAATACAAGGGCGGCTCTCTTTCACAAGAGGCTAAAAAGCTATATATATAGTGCTAGGTCTTTCTAGAGGCGGCTTAGGGTTAAGCCGGGCCTTGAAAATATGAAATGGGCTTCAAAAAGACGGTCCCGGGATAGAGATTCGTGGCCGATGGTTCTCGGCCGGTCGTGGGGACAATCTTCGGCCCCGGCTCGGACGGATGCATCGGCCGTGGTACGCGAACGGGTTGCGCGGCCGCGAGGCGTTACTTCCCGGCTCGCGCGGCATGGTCGTGCGCGGCGGGCGTGGCGGTTGTGGCGTGGCCGACCGCGGGCAATGTTTCCCGGGTCGTGATGCGTGATCGGCCGGTCGGTTTTGGACTTTGGCCGAGACTTCAGACGGACGGAGTATTTGGCCGAGCGGAACATGTTCCTCGGCCAGCCGGACTGCGCGGTTGGGCGCTGATTCTCGATAGAGCCGTCTGGACAGTCTTCACTCTTTTGGTTATAACTCCTTTTCTACTCATCCAAATTAGGCCGTTCCAGTTGCGTTGGAAAGTTAACTCAATCAGAGCACGCAGGGAACTGGTCTTGATGAAATCCATTGAGTAGATCTTTTTCTGGGCCCTCTTAAAGTTGGTGCTTGTGCATGGAGCGGCTTGAAGTGCAAATCCTATGGTTTTGCTCCAAAATGCATCATTTCACCTGTTTAGACTCTAGACACTATAAACACAGTAAAACTACCTTTTTAGATAGAAAACCTGCCAAAAACCATTAGAAAACAATGCTAAAACAGTATAAAAAGTGGGTAAATTAGAGGTATATCAACTCCCCCAGACTTAGATCTTTGCTTGTCCTCAAGCAAAAAGAATCTAAATCCGTGAAAGAGGTTTGAAAACGTGGAAGCTCCCTTGCTCTTTTGAATATCCTGTGAAAGGTTCCTTTCCTGTATTCCACTATGAACATAGACAACATAAGGTTAGCTTCACATACACCCTGCAAGTTTAGCGAACAATACCAACCCAACTAGTCTCATCCAGCAATCCAAACTCTCTATTGCTAACCTCTTGCATAAATTTAAAGCGTGAATTCTTTATCAAGGGGACATCGATCAATTGAACTTGTTCTTACCCACTTGATCCTCTCCAAGATTGCCTCTTTAAGTGCAATGAGTTCTTTTCCTCTCTCTTTCTCACATCAGAACTTTGAAAGGTCAATTTATCCCTACTTTTCTAGGGTATCATTTTATTTTTTCTATTGACCCTTCTTTCAACCACAGGATAAGTCTTTAGCTTGTTCCTTGTTTGACTAAGGTATTCCATAAGACATGAAGGTACAGACATATGCATTCCTCATGCTTACTTGTTTTCCTTGTGCTCTTTGAGCTTTTTCTCATAAATATTACTTACCATTTGGGATGGGAGAGAGAGGAGAACTCTTTAAAGATTAGACAAATCTATTGAAAATCAAGCAAGGAACTGTCGACATGTATGCCAACCCCCTTGACAAGAGTAATTAAGATTGATTAAGGTGAGGTTAACTCTAGATTGCTTGGTTACCTTAGAAATTTTGCTGAGCTAGCATGTCGATCCACTGTAAGAGCTTCTGTTAGGCTTGTGCCTTTAGCTGGTTTCTGCTCTAGGGTCATGGATTGTTAGCACAACACTCTCAATTCTCAAAGCAAGTTCATAACTTCCGGACTGGTTTTTGACTCAATAAAACTTTTTGAAAAACATGAAACAAAGTGAATAAAACATAAGAAAAGAAAGAAAAATGCATTAGTAACACAATAAAACTCCCCCCAGACTTAACTTGCACCGTCCCGGTGAAAGCAAATCACATTAAGGTGAGAGGTAATATTCAAAGTAAAAGAAAAATAAAGAAATTCATTAAAATGAGATAGGGATAGAAAATGGAGATTTGTAAGTGTCCATTGCACTAAGTACCACTTGAGATGACTATGTGTGGCAGTGAGAAGAACTCTCTTCCTCATCTATGGGGTCATCGCCTTCTGAACCAAGCTCTGAGTCTAGTGAGAACTCACCAAGGTCAGGCTCATATGGCTCTCTAGCGGTGGAAGAAGGGCGAAAGAGTCTCTCCGGTGCAATGTGGCGAACTACACGAACTAGGCGTGAGATGAAGCGAGATTGGCATTCCACTATCTTCTCCAGCTTGTTAACACGGTCTAGAGCTTGATGCGCGGCCATGCCAGTAGTGAGAACATGGCGTTCTTTGGCGGCGTTGAGTCTTGACTGCATGCTGAAGTGTGCGATAGGTGAGCATGGGGAATGATGGTTTCTCACTTGATGGAACATAGAAGTCTTCCTCATTGGGCTGGAAAGTGACAACACCTGAGCGTAGGCTTGGGATGTCTTCATGTGGCAGCAAGACAAGGGAAGTGTTGGCTGGACCAATTGGAAACTCATAGCAAAACCGAGTTGGGTCTTTAGTCCAACGGTTTAGGAAGTGGATGTGCTGAAGAGCATGGAGATCCAAAGGGGTTGGCTTGGGTAGTGGCTCATAGTTGGGAATGTCAATCCCCACATGTGTACTATGGCCGTGATAAGCCTCCCAAAACGAACACAAAGCTTCTTGTTGCCTTCCAAGTCTTGAGCTAGCTTCCTCACATTGATGAATGTCTTGGCAAGTAAAAGCCAAGGTTGGCCTTGTACTCATGCTTGATGAATGGTGTGGTGAGGATGTAGAACTCATCAGTTGTGACCTTGTTGGCTTCTTGTTTGCATTGGAAAGTGGTGGAGATGAGGCGGTGCACATAGCGAATGGCTGGATGAGTGATTCTAGACACCTTTGATCTTGAAGGCAAGAATGGTTCATTGGCAAAGTGTGTCCAATCAGCAAAGGCAGCTTGTTTCCTCTTTGAGTTCTCCTTGAAGTCATGTGCTGTCTCATTGGGAAGTCCAAAGAGTTGGCATAGAGCTGAGATGGAGATGCGCCCATTGGCATCGCCTATCTTGAAGAGTAGGAGTCCATCACCAGCTGGTTGGTCTCCATTGTGGTTGGGAAAGGCAAGAGCTACTGTGGAGAGGAACTCCTTGGTGAGTTGTGAGTACTCACTACACTCTAGCTTGAAGAGCTTGCTCAAGCCTAGCTTCCTTATGTACCATGTGACATCATCTCTTATCTTGAGAAGGTCAAGGGTTTGGGTGTCCATCTTCACACAAGGTTCGATGTTCACCTTCTCCATTGCCTTCTTGCACTTTCTTGGGTCTTGGATTTGTTCTCCAACAAAGTTACAAGTGCCCAATCATCTTCTCCTCTTCTTGGACTCTCCACATGTTCTTGACTTGCATCAATGGAATGTGGTGAAGTTGGTATTTGCTGCTCTTGCATTGGAGCTACTACTCCCTAGCTTGATTTGTTTCTTTGGTGGTTCCATGAATGGGTTCTTCTTCTTCTTCATACTCTCATTTCCTTTTGTCTTTGCCATTGTGTACCTACAAGAGCAAATTCTTGGGAAGAAATATGAGTTTGTGATTAATGCAAAAGAAGAATAAGCTAATTGAGTTGTAATAATGATATGGAATAATGGAACAACTCAAGGCTTAATCATGAATCAAAGAGACAAAATGGAAATTTCACTTTTTCAAAGTTAATTTTCGGATTTTACTGTTCATCCCAAGATTATGGTGCTTAAAATCGAAATTTTAGCAAATCAAGAGAAATTGAGTTTCTAATCCAAGTAATCACTAGATAAACTAATGAATTGAAGTATGGCTAAGCAATTTCACCTTTGAATAAGGGGTTTGGAATGCCCAATAAGTTTTGTGAAAAACTATTCAATTGTGAAATTAAACTTCAAATTAACTCTAAACCACCTAGGTTCCACCTAGCTAAGTTCATTACAAGACTAATAAGGATGATAATTTCAAGTTTAGACAAGAGTTTAGACCAAACATGAAACTTATTGAAATTTTCGATCTTGCATAAACATAGGATTAGAGTTAGAAGACATACCTTGTGTGTTGAAAAGTGAATAAGGGTTGCAAGAGCAAGTAAATTCCAATTTAGAGTTATGAACAGTAAAAGTTTTGAAATCAAAACTCTTAGAGTTCCTCTAATGGAGTTTAGGGTTTTGGAGAAGAAAGAGAGGTTTGTTGTTTTCAAGGGAAAGGTAAAGTATAAAGCTCAAGATCTATAATTTTCCTTTTCAAATTCGAATTTTGATTGAAAACCGGTTTAAGTTGGTTTAGGATTGGTTAAAACCGGTTTGAATTAAATGAAAAGGGGACTTACCTTGGCCGAGAAAATTTTGGCCGATGGCCGATGGATTTTGTCGCGGTCGAGCGATTTGGTCGGCCAAATCGAATGGACGAGAGATTTCGGCCGAGGCCGAGCGTTTGTTTCCCGGATCGACCGGCACGGTCGGTCCGTTCCGATACGAAAATTCGGCCGAGCGCGGCCTGTTCCTTTCCCGGTTCGTGCGTGCCGCGCGAACGGTTTCTGTCGCGCAATAAACTAATCCGGCCGAGCACGGCCGTTCCTTCCCGGCTCGACCGTGGTCGGCCCGAATGGAAATTGCTCGGCCAAAATTCACTTTTGCGCGTCCGCGGCCAATGGTTTGGCGCGGATTGTGTTTTCACACCTTTTTCTCCTTCTATCCTATCTCAAAACAAAGAAAACACAAAAGCAAAACAAAAACTAAGAAATTAAAGAAAGAAAAGTAAAAGTACCTCATGGGTTGCCTCCCATGCAGCGCTTGTTTTAAGTCTTTAGCTTGACTGTAAGGCTTGGCACTCAGGAGAAGATGGAGACAAGAGGCATCTTTGATCCTCCAAGTCTTTTCTCCTTGCAATGAGTATCTGGTGGGTGATTCACAGCTGGATAGACAATCTCTCCATGAATGTCCCTTGGCACTACTGCCTTAGGAAAAAGCTTTAGAGTTCTTGTCACTTTCTCCTTGAATCCTTCTAGATTCTCATCAATAAGCTCCTTTGGGAATAGAAGCTTCATGTTGCGGCCAGACCTAGGCTTTCTGACCTTCTTCTTGGCTTGGCCTCATCTTCAATCTTGGTTGATCCCTTGGGCGGTTTTGGTGTAGGGGCCTTAGTCTTACTCCTTGCTTGTTTGGCAAGCTGCTTGGGCTTAGGAATGGGATCTTCCTTGACTGTTTCTTCAGTTTCTCCTTCTTGGGGTGGCTTCAAAGTAACTTTCTCCTCTTGGACCATGTCAACAAAAGAGTTCTTTGTTGAACACATAGGGAAGAACATACCCTTGTTCACCTTGTTGAAAGAGATTCTTTGATTGGGGAAATCAAATATGGCACCCACAGTAGACAGGAAAGGGGTTCCAAATATGAGAGGTCTATGGCTACTCTCTCTCATTTCCACAATCTGGAAATCGGTGGGGATAGAGCAATTTCCAATCTGCACCATCACATTAGGCACAAAGCCATAGGGGGTTTGTGAGAATGAATCAGCATAGTTGATGGAGATGGATGATGGCTCTATCTTGGTGAGGCCTATCTTGTCAGCTATCCTCTTAGACATGATGTTCACATTGGCTCCTGTGTCACACAAAGATTGCTCAAGAATGTTACCTTTGATGATACAAGGCACAGCAAACTTTCCTGAGTTATCTGTCTTGGGGATAATCTTTGGGAAGAGTCTTCTCTTTCTAGCTCGATTGGACTCTCTCTCTGGGTAATTCTCTTCAGGCCAAATCATGCAATCAACAGTAGGTTTTGAAAGCATCCATTCTGGAACTTGGTCTTCAAATCTTTCTTCTATGGCGGCTGAGTTGCAAAAGGACTTCTTGGATTCAGCTTCCTGTCTCTTAACAGCTTCCATAGTTTGAGTGACTTGAGTCTCTAGTTTCTTCACATGAGTGGCAACAGCATCATACTTGGTGTTGAGATTGCTGAACAAAGTGTCCATCTTCTCATACATCTCTTTATTGTTTCTCTTCTGGCCATCCATGATCTGTTGGAGGATTCCTTCAAATCTCCCACCTTGTTGGTTTGGAGGAGCTTGATTTGGTGAAGAAGCATATGGCTCCTTGGGCGGATATGATGATCTCTGCTCATATCCTTGCCTTGGCTGAAATTGACTTCCTTGAGATTGGTAAGGAGGTCTTTGTTGTTGTGGATACCTTGGAGGATACACTTGGTCTTGAGGATTCTCCACATTGGGGTTTCTATAAGACATGTTGGGGTTTGGGCGATAGCTTGGATTGTATCCCTTGTTCCCATAGTTTCCAATGTAGTTCACATCTTCTTCATTGGCTTCATTAGAGAAGTCTCCCATACATTCTCTTGATGTCTTCATTAGCATCACTCATCCCTTCTATTGCATTGATATGCTTGAGCTGTCCCTTAAGAACTTGAGCCATCATGTTCTTGAGTTCAGTCATTTGAAAAGAATCAGGGGAGCTAGTAGTGGTGCGGCTTGAGCGGTCATAATCAGGACAGTTGTTACAATCACTAGCTGCAAGATTCTCAATAAGAACCTTAGCTTCATCAACAGTCTTGGTCATGAAGTTTCCATTGCTTGCTGTGTCCAATGAAAGCTTGTACTTGTGGTCTATGCCACGATAGAAGATGTTCCATAGGTTTCCTTCATTGAAACCATGATTAGGGCAGTCCCTAATGTACTCCTTGAATCGATCTAGCGCCTCATAGAAAGACTCATTGTTGGCTTGGCGAAAGTGGAGATCTTGTTCCTTACAGAAATTGATCTCTGTTTGGTGTAGAAGTGGTTGATGAATGCAGCCTTGTACTCATCCAAGTGGTAATGGAGTGAGCTGGCAGAGACTTCAACCATCTTGAAGCTTTGTCGCCAAGAGAGAATGAAAAGAGCTTGCACTTAGGTAGTCAGCAGAGACTCCATTGGATCTTGTAGTGCTGCAAATTTCTTCAAAGTTTTCTATGTGATCAAGAGGGTGCTCAGCTGGAAGTCCATTGAATTGGTTCTGTCTAACCAATGCTATGATCTGAGGCTTGATCTCATAGTCATTCCTTGCAGGAAGTGGTGGATGGATAGGGTTTCTATCCATGAAGAAAGCATCGGCAGAGTCATTGTAATATCCCTCATGCTAGCTAAGCACGGTCAAGACATAGACGGGACGGACGGCCACAAACGACCATCCCACTACATGCTATGATATGAGGCTTGATCTCATAGTCATTCCTTGCAGGAAGTGGTGGATGGATAGGGTTTCTATCCATGAAGAAAGCATCGGCAGAGTCATAGTCTCCGATTGTGGGTGCTCTGGCTTGGGGTTGTGCATTCACATCTCCAGCAGGGTTAGGAGGAGGAGGAGGTGGATCTCGTCCTTCTTCGTGAGCGCGCGCCACTTCAGCGGCGTGAGCGCGAGCTGCTTCGTCGGCCATCTCTTGGGCTTTTTGCTTCCTAAGTTACTTCTCAAGCTTGTCTATCTCTGGATGTTCAACTAGGTTGTCCTTGTTGGACCTCCTAGTCATGCACCTGAAAAGAGTCTTGGAAACAAGTTAAATCAAAAGGGAAAAACAAAAACAAAAGCAAAAATCAAAGAAAAAGAAATCAAAAACTAAAAATTCAAAAGCAAAAGAAAAGCAAAACAGGAAAAGGTTCTAGACTAGATCCTAGTCGAGTTCCAAAGGTACTGCTGCAGTCCCCGGCAACGGCGCCAAAAACTTGATGTGGAGTCAGGTTTTACCAAACTCCTAGACCTCTGCAAGTGCACAGATCGCGGAAGTATGGGTATCGAACACAAGGACTGGCTATTGAGTACACTTTGAAACTATGGATTTTGGATCAAGCTAAAACAAAAGTATGATTGAGGTTGTAATGGTGAACCGAACTAGCAAGTATAACGAGGTTGTAAATCAATAAGGAAAAGCGCTAGGTCATAGGGGCTATCGCAGAGAAGCAAGCAATGATCAATGAAACAATGATAGATGAATTGATTAGGGATGTTGGGATATTAAGAACCGTCTAGAACACAGATCACGAATATAAAACCATTCCACTTTCGAGGCTCCGGCTCCTTTGTTAATCTACCTAGTCGCTAAACTTTTGGTATGTCCCTAGGTGATTAAATCAAGCTTTAGAATGAATAGGTTCTGATACAGTTCACTAGATTATAGTAGATCAACTTTCGCAGTCTAAGAAACCTAGCTTGTCAAAGAATATGTCCGGCGAATGATACAACACTGTCGAGGCTCAAATCAACCTAAGATCGGATTACTAGATGCGCGGTAAAGCAATCAGCATTAGTTAAGTGCACAAGACGAGACAAAGACTCTAATATAATCCCTAGCTAATCATCGAAATCAAAGATCATGCAAGCAACTCATTGAATTAGTAACCCTAGCAACCTAACTAGTGGATTACTCAGACATGATCAAAGCAAACACACATAGAGATGAAGAAAACATGATTGCAATAAAACTTAGAGTAGGAAATCGAAATACAAGGCGGCTCTCTTTTCACAAGAGGCTAAAAAGCTATATATATAGTGCTAGGTCTTTAGAGGCGGCTTAGGGTTAAGCCGGGCTTGAAAATATGAAATCGGGCTTCAAAACGGGCTTCGGGTCGACCGCGGCGTTGGGACGGTCGGTCGGGACGATCGGCCGGACAGTCGGGTCGGGCCGAGTCGGAACGGTCGCGGCTGATGTGGAGTCAGGTTTTACCAAACTCCTAGACCTCTGCAAGTGCACAGATCGCGGAAGTATGGGTATCGAACACAAGGACTGGCTATTGAGTACACTTTGTAACTATGGATTTTGGATCAAGCTAAAACAAAAGTATGATTGAGGTTGTAATGGTGAACCGAACTAGCAAGTATAACGAGGTTGTAAACAATAAAGGAAAAGCGCTAGGTCATAGGGGCTATCGCAGAGAAGCAAGCAATGATCAATGAAACAATGATAGATTAATTGATTAGGGATATTGGGATATTAAGAACCATCTAGAACACAGATCACGAATATAAAACCATTCCACTTTCGAGGCTCCGGCTCCTTTGCTAATCTACCTAGTCGCTAAACTTTTGGTATGTCCCTAGGTGATTAGATCAAGCATTAGAATGAATAGGTTCTGATACAGTTCACTAGATATAGATAGATCAACTTTCGCAGTCTAAGAAACCTAGCTTGTCAAAGAATATGTCCGGCGAATGATACAGCACTGTCGAGGCTCAAATCAACCTAAGATCGGATTACTAGATGCGCGGTAAAGCAATCAGCATTAGTTAAGTGCACAAGACGAGACAAAGACTCTAATATAATCCCTAGCTAATCATTGAAATCAAAGATCATGCAAGCAACTCATTGAATAGTAACCCTAGCAACCTAACTAGTGGATTACTCAGACATGATCAAAGCAAACACACATAGAGATGAAGAAAACATGATTGCAATAAAACTTAGAGTAGGAAATCGAAATACAGGGCGGCTCTCTTTCACAAGAGGCTAAAAATCCATATATATAGTGCTAGGTCTTTCTAGAGGCGGCTTAGGGTTAAGCCGGGCTTGAAAACATAAGTTTGGGCTTCAAAAGGGCTTCGGGTCGACCGCGGCGTTGGGACGGTCGTGCGGGACGATCGGCCGGACATCGGGTCGTGGCCGAGTCGGAACGGTCGGGGTCGGACGGATTCGCGGTCGGCCGGCGTGGTCGAGCGGATGAATTTGGCCGATGAAATTCTCGGCCGGACGTGGGACGTTCTTCCCGGCTCGGACGGATGCATCGGCCGTGGCACGCGAAGGGTTGCGCGGCCGCGAGGCTTGTTTCCCGGCTCGCGCGCTTTGGTCGTGCGCGGTGTGGCGTGAGCGTTGGCTTGGCCGACCGCGGGCAATGTTTCCCGGGTCGTGATGTGATCGGCCGAGTGGTTTGGACTTTGGCCGAGACTTCAGTCGGACGGATACGTTTGGCCGAGCGCGGAACATTCGTTCCTCGGCCAGCCGGACTGCGCGGTTGGGCGCTGATTCTCGATAGAGCCGTCTGGACAGTCTTCACTCTTTTGGTATAACTCCTTTTCTACTCATCCAAATTAGGCCATTCCAGTTGCGTTGGAAAGTTAACTCAATCAGAGCACGCAGGGAACTGGTCTTGATGAAATCCATTGAGTAGATCTTTTTCTGGGCCCTCTTAAAGTTGGTGCTTGTGCATGGAGCTGCTTGAAGTGCAAATCCTATGGTTTTGCTCCAAAATGCATCATTTCACCTGTTTAGACTCTAGACACTATAAACACAGTAAAACTACCTTTTTAGATAGAAAACCTGCCAAAAACCATTAGAAAACAATGCTAAAACAGTATAAAAAGTGGGTAAATTAGAGGTATATCAGCGGCCGGATGATATAACGGTCGGCCGGCGTGGTCGAGCGGATAGAGATTTGGCCGATGGCTTCTCGGCCGGTCGTGGGACAATCTTCCCCGACTCGGACGGATGCATCGGCCGTGGTACGGGAACGGGTTGCACGGCCGCGAGGCCTTGTTCCCCGGTCGCGCGGCATGGTCGTGTGCGTCGCGGCGTGGAGCGTTTGTAGCTTGGCCGACCGCGGGACAATGTTCCCCGGGTCGTGTTGCGTGATCGGCCGGTCGGTTTCGAACTTTGGCCGAGACTTCAGAAGGACGGATGTGACTTTGGCCGAGCGCGAAACAATAGTTTCTCGGCCAACCGGTCTGTGCGGTTGGGCACTGATTCTTGATAAGGCCGTCTAGACAGTCTCCACTCTTTTGGTTATAACTCCGTTTCTACTCATCCAAATTAGGCCGTTCCAGTTGCGTTGGAAATTTAACTCAATCAGAGCACGCAGGGAACTGGTCTTGATGAAATCCACTGTGTAGATCTTTTTCTGGGCCCTCCTAAAGTTGGTGCTTGTGCATGGAGCGGCTTGAAGTGCAAATCCTATGGTTTTGCTCCAAAATGCATCATTTCACCTGTTTAGACTCTAGACACTATAAACATAGTAAAAACTACCTTTTTAGATAGAAAACCTGCCAAAAACCATTAGAAAACAATGCTAAAACAGTATAAAAAGTGTGTAAATTAGAGGTATATCAATGGTGGGACTAGCTCAACCAATGCCTAAGAAGGTAAAGGTCAATAGCTCAACCAATGCCTAAGAGGTAAAGGTCAAGCTATGGGACCTTAAACAAGCTCACTTGGGAGGAAGTCCCATGTTTATCCTTGTACATACTCTATTTATGCAATTTCTATCTATTTTGTTTTTAACCTTTCAATAAGTTAAGTTTAGGTGTCAAAGGAGCCAGCTCGACCGACAGCTCGATCGAGCTAGAAACAGGGCAACTCGATCGAGTTCCACAACTCGACCAAGGTAAGTTTTTGAATTTCAAATTCATAACCGTTTTCTTGGTCAAGGGAGTGGGTCCCACAAGCTGATTTTGGTCCCCCACTACCCTAATTCGATCAGAAAAATCCCTAGCTTCTTGTCCCCTCTTTTTTCATCTTTTAATCTCAACCACACATCTCAAACACTCCCTCTTCCCCATAACTCGATCGAACCCACTTCTCCACTCTCCCACACTCTAAAATTTCTGAAACTCTCCTCTCTCTCTTCACCACAAGAAAAATCGAATTTCAATCTCTTTCTCTTAAGTTTTTGCGATTTCACTTGTTCTTCTTCTTGTTTGGGTTCTAGCTTACTGTTCTTCAATTCATCATTCAAGCAAGGTATGAACCCTAAAACCCTTGATTCCTTCATCTCGATTTCTCATATTGCTTGTTTCTCTTTGATTTTGATTGCATGTGTCCCTTGTGGACTTGTTCTTGAGTAATTGCTTTCATATCATTCTCCTGTTTATACTTGTTATTTGCCTCACCTCACCTCTGTTTTCACTTTAGAACTTGTTGCATGTGCTTGAAAATTGAATTTGAGTTTGGTATTGGTTAGGTTTCACTAGAATTGCTTATTGTTCCATTTACTTGTTGTTCTTGGTTCAATTTGATTATTAGCATCCTTTCCAGCTCTTAATACTTGAATTAGGTTTGGTTATACTCTGTTTTCACCTAGCTCGATCGAGTTTGTCACTCGAGTTTTTTGACTCGATCGAGCTGAGTGTCGAGTTGACCAAACCGATCATTACAACTCTAATTCTTTGTAATCTTTGATGCATTTCAGGTACTTTAGTGAAGAAACAGTGTAACAGAGATGACAAACAGTGAGGGAAGTCGCGCTTCACAGAGGAGAATGGTTGAGGGTGAATCAAGCAATGCAAGGGAAAGAAGGCTTAAGATGCAAGCCGATTTGGGGATGACTCAAAGATGGAAGAGTCTGATGCAGAGGAGTATGTGTACTCTGAGGAAGAGTCTGAGAGAGAGATTGAGGGAGGAAAGGAGAACCAAGAAGAGGAATGACCCCATTAGTAGTGAGAGTGAGCAAGGGGAGTTTGAGATTGGAGTGAACCTTGTTCAAGAGGAGGGAAATGGCTCTCCAAGTGAAGAAGGAAGTGATGAGACTGAGAGTGAAGAGGAAGGAGAAGAGGTGAATCAGTTGGTTGAAGAGAGTGAGCAAGAGAGTAACCAAGATGAACCTATGGAGGAGGTTGAGCCACAAGAGGAGGAAGAAGAACTCCCTATGTACCAAGAGCACTACAATGCTCTCTTCTCCATGGACTTTGTGGAGACCAAGTACCCACATGTTGACACAATGAAGGCCCTTGGAATCTTTGAAGATGTGGAGCTAGTTCTCAAGAACATGCACTTGGCCAAGTTTTCTCTATCACATGGAATCCTACAAGGAGCTCACTTGCGAGTTCTTAGCTTCAATGAGGTACCACATGTACGATGAGGAAGGATAGAGCTGATTTGGACCAAGGATTGGGATGGATCACGTTCTTGGCTAAGGGAGAGAAGAGAATGGTGACCTTTAGGCAGTTGGAGATCTTGTTTGGGTTCAACTATGGAGAAGGTAAGTGGAACTTCAAGGAAAGGAACTCCAAAGGGTTTGGGCTACAATCGCTGATGGAGTGTACTCTTCCTCAAGGTCCAAGGCTGCTCAAATCAGGAGCCCAGTGTTGAGGTATGTGCACAAGGCACTTGCCAACACCTTCTTTGCAAGGAAGGCAACCGGGACCATCAACGAGGGGGAACTCAAGTTTCTTGACATGGGAATCAAGCCCATCTCTCACGCACAAGCGATGGCAAGAGGATCAGGGGAGATAGATCCAACACAGGGAACTTGATGCCTTTCCTTGACCATCTCCTCACCTACAAGACCACAGCCTACAACACTAGATATCAACAAGGAAGAGCCTAAGTGTTGGAGGGCTCATCACTCCTATCTTGTGTGCTGCTGGAGTGAACCCAACTGATAAGAGAGCCACTGAACCAGGTTGGATGGACATCAAGTTTTGCAAGACCAACCTCCTCATTGAGCACAAGGAGTTGGATGGGAGGTTCCAATTCAAGTTCACACATCCATTGGTTGGACCCTCCAAGCTTCTCCTGCCCAACCCTGAGCTCACCACAGTAGTCAGGGGTGAGAACATTGACTTCAGACCCCCTGTGTACACATTAGTTGGGCATGAGAATTTGCGAGAAGAGGAGCCTGAGCTCGATCGAGCTGAGGATCGAGCTGAGTCTCAAGCTGAGGATCGAGTCCAGGAGAGTGCGGATTTGGGTGAGCCTGAGTGCTATTACTTTGAGGAGTATGAGGCTCCAAGGATGAACCCCTCTGTTGTGGCTGCCCACAAGAGGATTGGACTTCTCCAAAAGTTCAACAAATGGCAAGGGAAAGCCATTGAAAGATGCAAAAGTCCATGGACAAGATGGTGAGCAAGATCAAAAGTTTGGAGAAGAAGGTTTCTGGTTCTTCAAGCAAGAAGAAGAAGGCTCCCATGAGCCACATTCCTAGGAGTAGATCACTCTCACCACTCCAAGGAGGCTCCCTGCCCAAGAGCCTCACAGAGCCTCTTCTTTCGAGCCAAGGGAGGGAGAAGACAACTCGCAGAGAAGGAGGAAGAGCTCTAAGGCCAGACGCTCCAGCTCGACCACCGGACTCGATCGAGTCCAAACAGAGGAAACTCAACTCGATCGAGCTGACGGTCGAGTTGACCTGAGGAGCCCAGTTTGAGGATCCTGGATTTGAGTACGATCCAACGCCTTACCAGGAGCCCCGGAGTAGATGGAACCCCTATGGACAGTACGAGCTAGCAATGCTCCACCAAGGCCAAGGAAGCCACACCACTTCGATGAAGAAGAGGAAGAAGAGGAGCCGCAAGCTCGATCGAGTGAGGGAACCCAGTCGAGTGGAGTGCTCCTGATGGCCGTCTGCCCATCTCCAGACCACGACCTTGCCTCCCAGTTCTTTGGGGGACACTGAGGTATCCAAACACCAACCCTTGTAATACCATTTCATATTTTCTTTGCTTTTTTTTTTTTTCTTGGTTTTGCCCTCTTGAATCTTTCACTAAATTTTCTCACACAAGGGACTGTGTGATTTAAGTTTGGGGGAGGGTTCAAGAGATGATTTAACCTTGTTTTCTTTGTTCTTAGTTTTTCATTCTCTTTTGCATAGAAAAACCAAAAAAATCATAAAATTTTCAAAAAATCCAAAAATATTTTCATCTTTTTGCATTCATATTTGTAGACTTGTTTAGGATTGCATTTTTCACTTGCATTGTTGATTTGACTTTGAAAACTTGTCCATCTTTTGCGATTTCTTGAGTGCCCTGTTTTTAGATTCTTTGTGCATTAGGGTGAGATTGATTGAGCAGCAAGAACCATGTTTATCTTGATCATATCACTGCATGCACATCTCATTCAACCATTGCTGTGATTTGATGCATTTCCCTATCTATTTGAACCATAACTTGATCTTTAATTACCAATGCTTGCATTTGATTTCAACTCATGGCTACCACATACATATCTGGACATTCTTTACCATTTTCATATCCCTTTTGCTTGTCCAGATAGCTGATCTCTATCTTTGAGACAGTTACCACACCTTAAACCTAAGCCTTTTTCATGTCACCTAAACCTAAAACTACTTGAGGGCAAGGAAAGTTGGTTCGTACTCTTCTCCTCCAAGCTCACATGCCTCATTCCTTTTGGGTAGAAGCTCTTAACACAGCGGTTTATCTTCTTAATATTCTTCCCTCCTCATCAATCTCTTATCATACCCCTTTCACTCTTTTGTTTAACAAAACAATATCTTATGACCACCTTCGGGTATTTGGTTGTCTCTGTTTTGTTAACACTTTCTCCACTTCTCCTCATAAACTTGCACCACGTTCTACCGCTTGTGTGTTTTTAGGCTATCCCTCTCAGCATAAAGGCTATCGCTGCCTTGACATCTCCACACGGAAAATCATCATTTCTCGTCATGTCACATTTGATGAAACATGTTTTCCTTTCTCAGTCACGGCACAAAAACCCAAAGACCTCTTCTCTTCCCACCACCACCAATACGTCCTATTGTCTCTCATCCAAATATAGAGACACTTCCTCCTTCTCCACCACCAAATCCGTCTTCACCACCAAATCCTTCTCCACCACCATCTCCTCCACATCCGTCTCCTCCACCTCCTCCTATTGTTAACAATCCTCAAACTCATCCGATGATCAGTCGTCGTATGAATGGGATCATCAAACCAAGACAACCACTTTGTCTTCATACAGATGTCATTTCCCCTCTTCCTCGTTCTCATGTACAGGCTGCTCAGGATCCTAATTGGAACGGTGCTGTACAGTCGGAACATTCTGCTCTTATTAAAACTCGTACGTGGGATTTGGTTCCCCGTCCTCCAAATACTAACGTTGTGCGTTCTATGTGGCTTTTTACGCACAAGTTTAATGCAGCTGGAAAGTTAGACCGCTATAAAGCTCGCCTGGTCGCAAATGGTAAATCACAACAGCCTGGAGTCGACTGCGATGAGACGTTTAGCCCTGTAATCAAGCCTGCGTCTATACGTGCGGTCCTCGACGTTGCCGTCTCTCGGGAGTGGCCACTCCATCAGCTTGACTTGAAGAACGCCTTCCTCCATGGCGACTTGAAGGAAACCGTTTACATGCATCAACCTCCAGGATTCGTTGACAAGGAGAAACCAGATCATGTATGCTTGTTACGTCGCTCTATCTACGGTCTCAAGCAAGCACCTCGCGCTTGGTATACAAGGTTTGCCGACTATGCTAAATGTATTGGTTTCACGCAAAGTCTTTGTGATCCCTCGCTCTTTGTTTATAGCCAGGGAAAGGAACTTGCGTATCTTTTGTTATACATCGACGACATCATCCTTACTGGATCATCACAACCTCTAGTTCGAAAGATCATCTCTGCTCTTAGCACAGAGTTTGAGATGAAAGACTTGGGCAAACTACATCACTTTCTTGGGATCGCTGTCACATATAATGTCGGTGGTATCTTCTTCATCAACAAAACTATGCCGCTGACATCCTCCATAGGGCTAGTATGACCAACTGCAATCCATGTCACACGCCTGTGATGATAGGATTTGTGTGTGGATGTGAAAAGATATGAGATGAGATGTGTGGAATGCAATCAGAGATATATGATGAGGTGGTAAGATGCAAACACAAACATGATGTGCGGGATCAGGTCTTCCCCTTTCATATCCCTGATTCTGCAAGTGCACAGGTCAGAAGTAGTAAATGGGTATCGAACACAAGGACCAGATTGCACGCTACAAGTTATGAGTTTGAGAACAAGCTAGGGCAAAAGTATAAGTTGGTTGAGTGCAGAGAAAGTAAAGCATGAAAGTAATTAAAGGTAAGGATTCAATAGGAGAGAAAGGCTAAGCAATAGGATAGTCTTGAGATAAGCAATTCAAGAAGCATGAAATCAATCAATTAGGGTTACCGCACTTAGGTGCTAATCTAGAACTTGAAACACTATGGTACGATCGGCCAGCTTATCGGGTCATGGTCGCTATCGGCATGGTCGGAACGATCGTGGCCGAGAGTTCTCGTGGTCGGCCGCTGTAGTCGGCCGGATGAAGGATTTGGCCGATGATTCTTGGCCGGACGTGGGATGCGGCTTTCCTGGTCGGACGGCGCGATCGGCCGTGGTACGTGAGTTGTGCCGCACGGCCGCGAGGCGTTGCTTCCCGGCTCTCACGTTGTGATCATGCGCGGCATTGGCTGCGTGGTTCTGACTTGGCCGACCGCGGGACGTTGCTCCCCATGTCGGTACGTGGGCTCGGCCGTGGTTCAGGCGGGATGGACGTGTTCGGACTTTGGCCGACCGTGGAACGTTCCTCGGCCGGCCGTTCTGCACGGCTTAGCCGCGGTTTCTCGATAGAGCCGCCTGGACCAGTCCTTGCTATTTTGGCCATAACTCCTTTTCTACTCATCCAATTGAGGCCATTCCTCTTGCGTTGGAAATTTAACTCACTCAGAGCACGCATGGAACTGGTCTTTATGAAATCCATTGAGTAGATCTTTTCTCTGGGCCCTCATAAAGTTGATGCTTGAGTATGGAGCGGCTTGAAGTGCAAATCCTATGGTTTTGCTCCAAAATGCATCATTTCACCTGTTTAGACTCTAAGTACTATAAATCCAATAAAACTACCTTTTTAGATAGAAAACCTGCCAAAAACCATTAGAAAACCATACTAAAACAGTATAAAAAACATGTAAAATAGAGGTATATCAGATGTAACAACCTAAATGAAATGAAAGGAAATGCAAATGGCGGATGTAAACAAAGAAGTAAATGCACAAACTAAACAAGAACAAGTGAATGCAACAGAGCTCAACCAAGAGCTCGATCGAGTAGAAACAGAGCAATTAAGCTCAATCGAGTTGAGGGTCAAGTTAGTGTAAAAACAGAGGAATACGATTGCAAAGTAATAAAGGTGCGAACTTTAGACTACTATGATGAATATTAGGGATAAAGACAAGGTTTTGCAACTAAAGGAAGCCTATACTTAATCAATCTTGCTCTTTAACAACTTGCACTCAAGCTATCTATTGGTATTGAACTTCTCAAGCATAGTTAACCCTTTCCCAAGCTGAAAACTATCAATCAAGGCAAGATCTCAGAAACAGGGAGTCAACCAGTGAGATCAAGCCTTGAAGGCCTTAAAACCTTTGTTCAAACTCACCCTTTAACACCTATGAACCTCATTTCATGAGACAAGCATGTTAAAGCTCTTAGTGGACTTGTTCAAGCAATTATCTATTCATTCCCATGACGATAATCGCCTAGACTCATACACACCATGGATAGTGGTTGTGTAGCCTTAGGCTTAGTCCAAAAGAGAGAGATTTATAATTAAGAACATAAAGAAATAGAGATTAAGCATAAACAACCTTTAGTCTATCCCATCTTAAGCCCTAAAGATGAACTACTCACTACACATGATGAAATAACCAACAAAATGCAATGAAACCAACATCAAAAGAAAGAGTGAAGCGAGTTGTAACATCCCGGTTTGTGATAAATGAAGAGAGGCTTAAGAGAAATTATTTGGCTACCTATGTCAACAAAGTGCACTTACCTTTTCGGTCAAAGGTCTATAAGTAACTCCAGAGTTAAGCGTGCTTGGGCTGGAGTAGTTGAAGGATGGGTGACCTTCTGGGAAGTGGTTTCCGAAACCGTGTGAGTGAGGCCAAAACACGGGGAAAAGTCAGGTGTTGATTGCAGGGATAGTAAACAAGTCATTAGAGCCTCTCAAAAATAACGGACATGCCGTTGGACAGGGGTGAGGCCACGGGCCGAGATGGGCCTGCGGGCTCAGAGAGAGGGCGTGGGTGACTCACCGGGAGGGACGGTCGGGGCGTTATAATTTGGTATAGAGCCAAACCCAGACGAGAGTGTGGAGTCAAGTTGAAGTGGCCTTGACTCACCGTCAGGGGGTGACGATCCAGGTACGCAACGAGGACGTTGCGCATAGTGAGTGGGGGTGAGTTGTAACATCCCGGTTTGTGATAAATGAGGAGAGGCTTAAGAGAATTGATTTGACTACCTATGTCAACAAAGTGCACTTACCTTTTCGGTCAAAGGTCTATAAGTAACTCCAGAGTTAAGCGTGCTTGGGCTGGAGTAGTTGAAGGATGGGTGACCTTCCGGGAAGTGGTTTCCGAAACCGTGTGAGTGAGGCCAAAACACGGGGAAAGGTCAGGTGTTGATTGCAGGGATAGTAAACAAGTCATTAGAGCCTCTAAAAAATAACGGACCGGCCGTTGGACAGGGGTGAGGCCCATGGGCCGAGATGGGCCTGCGTGCCCATAGAGAGGGCGTGGGTGACTCACCGGGAGGGACGGTCGGGGCATTATACGAGTCGAACAACTTTGATTGAAATAGCAAATTTCATAAACACAATTACAAAGCCTAAATCTAAGGTTCAATGAGAATGAGCTCAACAACACTAAGAGGAGGCTAAAACTAAAAAGGGAAATCCAAATTACAAAATTACAAAAGTTGTGTTTCTTTCGCGGCTCAAGCCTAGTTATAGCAAAAGAAACTAGGTTTAGGGTCAAAAGAGAGTCAAAGCGAAGGCATATTTTTGGGTCTTGACTCTGAAAAGCAGCTCGATCGAGTTAAGATTTTGCTGGTCGAGCTAGTGCAAAGTTGGAAAAGTTTGGCCTAGCTCAACCGGTGGGTCGCGCGGGTTGGTTGAGCTGGGCATAAAGGCGCCACCTTTCTTCATCTTGAGCTGCGCGGTCGAGCTGAGTCCCATGCAGAGTCCTTCCTTCCTCCTCACGTCCATTATGCTCTAAATTACTCCAAAAAGACCTGTTTAAGGTTCAAACATGCACATGTATGCAAATGCAATCCTAAAACTACAATGTATGCATAAGAAGAGAAAAAGGACAATATATGATGCTAATGATGAGTAAAACTATGCAAAAGATGTATAAAAGAAAGGCTAAAAAAATATAAAGTATGAGTACCTCAACACCCCCAAACTTATCCTTTGCTTGCCTTCAAGCAAAAAAATAGAACAAGGAAGAGCTGAGGTTTGAAAAACAAGTTGATTCAACCCAAGAACAAACATTCAAAAGCGATTTGCTAAATGTCCCACTGAAAGATTCTAGAATGCAACAAGATGAGAGATACTTCTTAAAATCTTAGCCATGCTTAACAAGATCAATCCCACTTCACAGTCAGTCAAACAATGCACTCAAATCAGAAAATCCCTTTCACATTCATTCAATGGAACAGTGAACCAAAAACAAGCAAGATCAATCAACTCATTTGGCCAAGGGTTTAGGTTAAGAGATAAAAATGGTCCCTTTGAGGTGTATGGTGGTTTAAATAACATGGATCTCTCTGGAAAGTGACCATGCTTTGGCATAATTTTAAGGGTTAGAACCAAAGATGATGCAAGAGCAGCAACTCTAGCTACCTAATTCTGACTCGACCGAGTTAAGACCGAGAGCCCAGAAAATGAAGAACAACTCCTAATCTACCCAATTGGCATTTCGCCTTTAGAACCAGAGGAGCTTTGCTCACTTTTCTTTCTCTTTTCGTTAAGAACAACACAGGGAGAGGCTTCTTTAGGTAACATCTAACGGTTTGGGACTTCTAAACACTTAGGGAACTCTTTTCTTTTCTTTTTAAGCACCTAAGGCTTTGCCTTCTTTTCTTTTCTACTTAGAACCCTTTTATCTTTCTTTTAACACTTCCCATACCTTTATTAGACACTTTTAAACACATACCAACTCCCTGGACTTAACAAAACTCATCTCTTTTGTTTTCCCAATTTTTACCACTTTTCTGGAATTTTTACGATGAACTCGCCCAAGTCCAAATGGACACCCCCCAAAACTTATCCTGAAAACAACCCAAGAACTAGAAAACTAGAACTACTGCTATTTCTGGTTTAAACACAACACCTTATACTAAGCATAGCCAAGAACAAGGCCGCACAAATCGCACAAGAGACAAAATGGGGGTTTGAATGAAAAAGGTTAAGGTTTAGGGTGTGGTAACTGTCTCAAAGATGGAGAGCAGCTATCTGGACAAGGAAGAGGGATAAACAATGGGAAAAGAATGTCGACATATGTATGTGGTATCCATGAGTTGATAACAAATGCAAGCAATGGTAATTAAAGATCAAGTTTAAGGTTCAAATAGATAGGGAAATGCATCAAATCACAGCAATGGTTGAATGAGATGTGCATGCAGTGATTAATCAAGTTAAACATGGTGCTTTCTTGTTCATTAAATCTCACCCTAATGCACAAAAGAATCTAGAAATGGGATACTTATAAAATTGCAAAAGAAAAAAGAAAAGCAAGTTCACAAGGTTTAATCAACAATGCACAACAAAACAGAGCTAAATGATGCAATCCTAAAACAATTCTAAAAATATGAATGCAACTACATTAAATATTTTTGGATTTTTGAAAAAATTTCCAATTTTTAGGGATTTTCTATGCCTTAAGATGAATGCATGAAAAATTGGGAGGAGTCCAATCCTCTTGTGAGCAGCCAAAACAGAGGGATTCATCCTTGGAGTCTCATACTCATCAAAGTAGTAGCAATCAGGCTCGCCTAGCTCTTCATTAACTTGAATCTCCTGTTCCATAAGCTCAGGCGCTTGCTCAGCTTGCTCCTCAATTTGTTCCTCAGCTTCATGCCCAACAACCATGTCAAGTGGAGGCCAAAAATCAATGTTATCTCCTCCTCTAACTGTTGTGTAGGCAGGGCTTGGTAGAAGCATCTTGGAGGGACCAACATCAGGATGTTTGAACAAGAATTGGTACATCCCATTCACTTCATTGTGATCAATAAGGGTGTTCACCTTGCAAAACTTAATGTCCAACCAACCAGGAGCTGTACTCTCATGACTAGATGTATCCACACCTCCAGCTAGCAAGATAGGCGTGATAAGGCCTCCCACACTCAGCTTCCTCTTGGGCTTGAAGCGATTGGCATAGGCTGTGATCCTGTAGTTCAAGAGATGATCCAAGAAGGGAATGAGTGTCCTAGTATCTGAGGTATCTCCAAGGATGGGTCTTCCATTTCTCATGAAAGGGACAAGTAGTTTGATCCCCATATCAAGCAGCTAGAGCTCTCCTTCAGTGATGGTTCATGTGGTCTTTCTTGAAAAGAAAGAGTTGGCCAGCGCCTTGTACACATATCTAAGGACTGGACTCCTAATTTGAGCAGCCTTAGACCTTGAAGAGGAGTACACACCATCAAAGATTGTAGTCCAAACTTCTGAAGCTCATTCTTGTCAAAACTCCACTCAGTTCCTTCTCCATAGTTAAACCCAAACATGACTTCAAGATTCCTAAAGGTAACCTCTGGCTCCACACCATCAGCTGTGAAAGTGATCCAACCCAAACCTCTATCCAATTCTCTCCTTTCAGCCTTGCTGTAAATGTAATATCTTAATGAAGCTAGGAACTCACAAGTCAGCTCCTTGTATGACTCCATCCTATAAGAGAGGAACTTGGCCAAGTGCATGTTCTTGAGAACCAACTCCACATCATCAAAGATCCCAAGCTCCTTCATTGTATCATCATGAGGGTATTTGGTTTCCACAAATTCCATGGACATGAGAGCTTCATAGTGCTCATTGAACATGGGGAGGCCATCATCTTCCTCAGCTTGTGGTTGCTCAACCTCCTCCATTGGTTCATCCACATCAGCTTCCTCACTCCCTTCTTCTCCTGGTTCACTTTCCACAACCTCAATCTCTTCCTCTTCTTCACTTTCTTCGCTCTCCACATCCTCCTCTTGAGCGCTCTCCTCTGGCTCAAACTCTCTCTGTTTTTTTTTTCTCTTCTTCTTGCTCACTCTCTGTTTCCACAAGTGATTTCTCATACTCTTCTCCATCAGAATCAGTGAAAGAGGATTTTTGTGTATCTTTGCAATTAAAACCCTTTTAGCCAATTGTAGTATAGCTTAGGGTTCTTTGTCAAATCCAAAGGGTCAAGATAGAGGCACCAAGAATACAAGAAACTATGTGAGCTAAGCAAATTCGAAATTGGTGTTGAACTAGCAACTTAAGTGAGATAAAGAAACATAAAGCATAATAATAAAATGACAAGATAAATAATGGGTCTAAGGATGGGAGTTATTGAAGTAGAGAGAGTTTTTGACTAATCTATGATACTTAAGCGCATAACTGAATGCTAATCCTTAGGCAAGAGATTCAATAAACTAGATTAACCCACTCTCATGGTGACAATCCCTTTGCAATAAACCATAATCAAGAGCTAATCATCATTAGTGAAAACTGTAAATGCAAGCATTATAAATCAATCTCATAAGCCATTAAACACCTTAGACAATCACTTTCATGAGCTAAGATTGTAAAACCCCCAAATAGTTGGTTCAAGCATTTCATCAAACACTTTTGGTGCATGAAATGCTTAGGGTCTAGAATCAACTTGATCAAAGAAGATCTAGCATTAAGAACACTAAGTAAGGAAGGAAATCAGAAATTTTAGTCCTAAGCATCAAAACCAATCATTGAATACCTCATTACAAAGACCCTAAGATAACTACTCACTAATCATGTTCAAAAACCTTAACCCAAAAAAGGAAAAGTAGTTAAACGTGATTAGGGAGATACAATAAGAGAGATTAGTGAAGAAGATTTCTGAAATACATAAAAACTCTTAAGGGATCTTGCAAAATCATTAAGAACTTAGAAGAGAGGTTTTTGGTCTAAGAACAAGGGAAATTACAAAATCCCTAATAAATTAGGTCTTTAGAGTATTTATAGTGGAGACATAAAACCCTTGGTCAACTCACTAATCTTGCCTTTTCTTTTGGCTAGGTCATCCCAAATGGTTTGGGCCTCCTTCCTAGTGGTTTAGCCTTGGTTCGTGACAGCTAAGGCGTGGTCAAAGCTCAGTCAAAGCATGGTCAACACGCGCCCATAAGGCAATCAGGTTTGGAAACCTGATTGACATCCTGATTGCATCTCTGGAAAAACAGAGGAACTCTCCTTGCTTCATGCTTCCATCCCCTTTGATCTTGACTCGTCCCATCAAACTCCTTCATCATCCAAAGGCATCCCAAAAGCATCCAAAAGCACCTGTAATACACTCCAAATGCTACATGTATGCAATGTCCTAGCTAAAACTTACAAAACTCTAAAGTGAATGCAAACTAGACTAAATGGAATAGGATTATACATAATGGATGCAAAAACTAAGAGAAATGAATGCTTACAACATGTAAAATATGAGTATATCAATCAGCTATACTTTTCAACATTCTCCTTGCTGCCCTTGCTTTCTCTAGTTTCCCTTGAGCTTTGCTGCGTCCTTCACCCTTCTCCATCTTGTTCACGTTCTTCTTCCAACTGATTGCACTGAAATAGGTCAAGAGCTGTAATAATCGATTCGGCTAACTCTACCAAGCAACTCGATCGAGCTTGATGTTAAGTGCAAGGGTTGTGAAACCAACTCGACCGAGGTAGCTCAGAACAGAGTAAACTGAATCAAAATCAGGGATTAAGAGCTAGATAGGATGCTAAACAACCAAATTGAACCAAGAACAGCAAGAACTCAGCACAATAATCCATATACTTGAAGATTATAGCATCCTAATTAATATACCAAGCTCCAATTCAAGGATTAAAGCACATGCAACAATTGTTTAAGTGAAACAAGATGAATGAGGCAAGTTGAATGATTTCTCTAGTCAAAAGAGATTTAAGAAAGCAAATAACTCAAGAACAAGCTCAAATGGTGACGTGCAACAAGTGTCTCAAGCAATATGAACAAGAGACTTTCAAACCATCAAGTAAAAGGGATCTAAAGAAGCATATCTTGCTCTGATTTTGGCTAGTCTAGAAGCAGTATTAGAGTACATAAAGCTTAAGCAAACAGAACAAAGAGAAATCGTGAAAACTAGCGAGAAAGAGAAGAAATTTCTGGGTTTCTAGAGAGAAGGAAGGGAGAATAGAGAGAGATGCTTTAGGATCAGGTTTTTGTGAGGTGAGAGGATGGTGGTGGTGTGCGATCGAGTTAAAGAGAGAAAGGGGAAGTGTGAGATGTGTGGCTAGGATCAAAAGGAGGGGGAAAAAGACCTAGGGTTGTCTGGTCGTACTCAGGCAAGTGGGGGACCAAAATCACAGGTGTGTGATATACCACTATTTTACATGCTTTTTATACTATTTTAGTATTGTTTTCTAATGGTTTTTGGCAGGTTTTCTATCTAAAAAGGTAGTTTTACTGTGTTTATAGTGTCTAGAGTCTAAACAGGTGAAATGATGCATTTTGGAGCAAACCCATAGATTTGGCGCTTCAAGCCGCTACATACACAAGCATCAACTTTAAGAGGGCCCTGATATCACATATTTTACATGATTTTACTATATAATTACTTATGTTTTCAAACGGTTTTTGCAAGATTCTTTGCCTTTAGAGGTAGTTTTCTTGTATTTGTGGGATTTGAAGTCTTTGTAGGTGAAACCATCAAAAAGGATGCAAAAAGGAGTAAAAGAGCCCTAAACCAAGATCCATGCAAGTTTCCAAGTCAAGAAGATCATTTTATCTCCAAGTGTTAGTTCTCGCTAGCGCGCAGAACGAAGCTTCGGAAGTTTGGCCGCGCGCGGAGGAGTTCCCGACGTCCAAAAGTTACGATCTTGATATGGAAAGATAGATACTTGAGTCATGCATCACGTCGAAGTGGAATGAAGCCATTTGGATCAACTATGAGGCCGGAACTTATTTTCTACCGAGACATGTCCGGTAAGCGAGTAAACGAAGCCCATGGAGGATTTGGAGTGTCTAATGGCCCGAGCAGCAGCGCCAAAGGCCTTGATCGAATAGAGAAGAGGCCTGGCTAATGTTTGGAGCTTTCCTTGGTACAATGTCGGCCCATACACGACGTGGAGAAGAAGGCTTTGCTCATGGGAAACTTTCCTTTTCCGGCATGAAGAAAACCCTACGCGACTTCGCCCATATATACATGTTTTTAGCCGCTGAAGAAGAGAGTCCGAAAATTATCAAAGAGTGTACGTGTGAGAAGAGAGTCAGAGAAGAGAAGCCCTAGGAGATCGTCCAAGAAGAAGGAGGCGCCGCTCAACTCTTGTTCTTTCTTTTTCATTGTTTCCATTTCTATAAACTTGATCTTAAGAGTTTTCAAGGGAGAATCCGACTTTGTTCATCAATAGAGAAGCTTTCTTCATCCCTTTATCTCTTTTAATACTTGCATAATGCTTTCAATCATGCTTTGCTTGCTTGTTTGCATCATGGCCGAGTAGATCTCTTAGTTAGGCCGAGGAGATCTATGGTGGCCGTGATGATTTGATTGTGTTGCAACTTATTGGGATTTATCTTATGGATCTTCACCTTTACTTGAGCTTAATGCATGATTACTCTACCGTACATCTAGTAATCTGATCTTAGAGAAATAGAACCACGACAGTGCTGAATCTAGATCTCAAAACTAGTATTTGGTGAGCAATAGATCATAGCCAACGAAAGCTGAGTTATGGTTTATTGTGAACAATTGAATCTTGATCACCTTTAATGCATGTTTGCAATACTAATAGCCAACGAAAGCTGAGTATATTAGGTTGTTTTAAACATAGTGGTTGGAGCCACGACAGTGGAAAGACCATACACTAGTGATTCATGTTCAAGACGGCTCTACACACATCCCATGCAACTATCTTTTCATCATTGCTCCATATGATTGTCCTTTGCCTAACTCTTGTTTTAAATTGTTTACAACCTCACTCACATTTCTTTTGTTTTTTTCTCATTCTAGGTCCAAAACCATCTCATATTGCGAGCTAGCTACAAACCAATCTCACAAGGTGTTAAGCGAGAACACTTCCTCCTCGTGTTCGACCCCGACTACAACACGGCTGTGCACTTGCAGCTCATTAGTTGGGTTTATAAATTGTGAAAATTTGAGGCAATCTAAACCCGCCATCAAGCTTTCTGGCGCCGTTGCCGGGGAGGAGTTGCTTTTCCTTCACACCTCTTGATTGATTTCAAGACTAGCTCATCTCATCTTTCACTTTCTTTGTTTTTCATAAAATCTTAAAACTCATAAAAATTTACTTAACTCTCTCTTTGAGGAGATATGTAGCACAACTCGTGTTAATGGAGTATCGCCGGATTACTTCAAGTGCAAGCTATTCACTTTTTCTCTAAGTGACAAGGCGCTAAGATGGGTAAAATCTTTACCACCTCAGTCCATTACAACATGGAATGAATACAAGGGAGCTTTCTTGAACCAATTCTACACTAAGCAAAGATCCAACTCTATAAGGAGCAAGATTTCTGGTTTCAAGCAAGATTCAATGGAGTCATTCTATGAAGCTTTGGAGAGATTCAAGGAGTACACAAGAAGCTGCCCTAACCATGGCTTTTCAGAAGGTAACCTTTGGAACATCTTTTACAATGGGATTGATCATAAATACAAGCTTTCTCTCGATACCGCGAGCAATGGTAATTTCATGACCAAGTCGGTGCCGGAGGCAAAGCTTTTGATTGAGAATCTCGCTGCTAGTGATGCCAATGCATGCCCTGACTACAATAGAAGCGTGAAGACCACGAGCTCATCAGAATCAGCTCAAATCTCGGAGCTAAGGAACATGGTTTCACAACTACTTAAAAGCCGACAAGGAGTTCACGCCATTGAAGATGCCCTAGCCACAAATGAAGACACTCTTATGGATTTCATGAGAGATGGCACTGAAGAGAATCTAGAGGAAGTCAACTACATTGGAGGAAACTATGGGAATAGAGGATTCAATCCACCATTTCGCGCGCATCCAAACCTATCATACCGGAGCAACAATGTGGAGAATCCAAATGACCAAGTCTACCCCAATCAAGGAGCGTATCAAGGAGGCCAATACCAATCCAAGCCACAACAAGTCTATCCAAGAGGGATGTACCAAGTGAAGCAACCATTCACTTTTTCTCAAGAAACAAATCCAACCCAAACCGGAGAGAAGGTTGACGTGGCTTGAAGAAATACATGGAGGAGCAGAGATTGATCACCAAGAACCTATATGAGAAGCTTGATCACATGTTTGGTGATCTAAGCAGCAAGTTTGGGTCTCTCTCTACTCACGTTCAAAAGCTTGAGGTGCAAATCGCTCAAACAGCCGAGGCGGCCAAGAAACAAAATGAGGTAAACACTCAAAAATTTTGTAGTGTTGTCTCATCTATAGATGGCACTATTGTTCCTACACTATCTCAAGGGGAAGAAGAAGAAAATGAGCCTAAGGAGAGGCACAAACCGGAGAGATACAGTTGGGAATCAAGAAGAGCTTACAAGAGAAGACTTGAAGGCAAGCCACTACAAAAACAAGAAGATCCGGGGAAGTTTGTGATAACTTCAAGTATCAATGGCATTCAACTCCACGATTGCCTATGTGATACTGGTGCTAATGTTAATCTAATGTCTCTTGCACTTGCAAAAGATTTGGGATTCAAGGAATTCAAGAGCCCCAAGATAAGAGTCGAGTTCGCGGATCTATCGTGCATGGAACCTTATGGAATGCTTGAAGATGTCATGATGGAAATAGGGGGTCGATCGGTCCCAACTGACTTTCAAGTCATGATTTGGGAAGGCTCAAAGAGGAATCAACTGATTCTTGGAACCCCATTCCTTGCTACAGCTGGAGCGGTCCTAAACTACTTTGGGAATCATCTATCTTTTGGCCACATCCGGCAAGATATCTTTTTCCCAAGTGTAAATTTCAGGTCAGTGCCAAGTGCGACCAAGCTACCACCAGAAGAAGCCACTCTCATGCCTAAGAAAGAAGCTGTGATGCATGGAGAAAGAAGAGAGAGTGAGCGCTACCCAAAACCAAAGGAGAAGAAGAAAACATTGGAGCCGAGGCATGAAAATGTCTTTAAGATATCAACTCCATCTTACTTCCAACCTTTGACGAGTATGGAGCTGAAGAGGAGACTAATGGTGCACCTAATCTCTTTCACAAGATAAGAATCTTTACACCAAAAGATTCGGAGCTTAAAGGTGACCAATCCATTGAAGAGAAGCTTGAGAGAACTATGAAGCTTTTCCCCAAGGCATTGGTTTTCAAAGATGATGTGAGAGATGATCATGGCGCGACAACACCACCACAAGAAGCCACTGAACCGGAGAATGGAGAAGCTAAAGGGATCCTTTGCCCTTCAGCCACTCTTCACCACGATTGAAAGAAAGAGAAGGAGTCAAGCTAAATGACTTAAAACAAAAGCGCTTTATGGGAGGCAACCCATATGGTTTTTAACTATTTCTATTTTGCAGGAGTTTTTCAAAAATCAAACAAAAATACAAAAATATTTTCTTAGGATGAAGACCCAAAGGAGACCAAACAATGGAAGTGTCCCACCCAATGAGCCCACCCTTGTACAAGGCGTTTCTTCCAAAAGGTAAGTAAATCTCACCTAGTATTCATTTCTAATCACTCTTGATCTTCACTTGAAAAATCGTTTAAACCATTGCACTTTATCAAATATATTTCATGGTTTAACTTGATTTACTTTTGATGATTGGAAAGAATACATAATCACTTGTCAAAACTCATTTCGCTCACTGAAATTACAAGAGATTGAACTATAGTTTGAAATTTGGATCATTGACCAAGACCAAATAAGAATTTATAGTTTGTGCTTTAATCTCTTGGATTGTGAACTTCAAGTTGGTCACTTGAGGATCACAATCTGAGAAACCATCTAATCATGATTTCAAGTGTTTTGCAAGGAGTTAACATTTGACAGGAAGGAGAAATAGCAAACCTATCAACCACCTCAAAACCAACATGCATATGGCGGCCAAAGGGAGGTTAAAAGGAGATACATAGGCCATCACACGAAACAAGGCGGCCACCACTTGGGAATGACACAGGAGGGTTATTAAAACAATTCGGTCGAAGAAAATCTCAATTGGCCCGAGTGGATTTGAAGAAATTCAATCCGGACATTTCTCTCGGCCATGACGCACAAGGAGACCATTACGGCCAACTCCTAAACGGCGTGACCGAAGTCCACCAAACTTCACAGGCGACCATAAAATCACATTTTGGTCGGCAAATCCAAAAGATAGGACGGAGAAATCATCACGGATCATGAGATAGACGACGGAGCTCATTCTGGCCGATGGCGCGCAAGCAATATGGCCGACAAACCAAATCACGGCATAGGCGCGCCAACCGGTTGGAAAACTCTTCCTTTGAGCTTAACTAACACTTTTATGCAGGAAGAAACGAAAAGGAACGAGCCAAACTTCACATGGCCAAGGAAACTCCTTCCCGGAGCCGACTTGACCATTTTGTGAAGGAAGTCTCAATCCGCTCGTCAAATGCTCCCAAACTTCACCAGAGGCATAAAATACCAGGTTGGTCGATGAAATTTCAATATAGGTCATGAAATTTTGACGGTTTGTTCTGTAGTTCACAGCACCACATTTTGGCCGACCGAATATACCAATCTCGGCCAAAACACAAACCGGCGGAAACCAAGGCCTGAAATTAAAAACTCACCGACCAATATTGCCTAAAGAAGTGTAGAATGACCCAAACCAGAACTGATCTTCATTATAAATTGGTCGACATTTGGTAACATCATCCTAAACCTTTTTCTTTTCAATTTTTCATTTGAACTTCATGTTATGCCTCTCTTAATCCGATTTGATTTCACCGGGACGGTGCAAGTTAAGTCTGGGGGGATTACTAACAATGTTTGTTCATTTTGGCATTTTCATTTGCATTTTTTCCCTTTTAGTCGAGTCAAAATTTTTGTCGAGAATCATGACCTTATCTTGGATCTAACCATGGTTGTACTAATGTTTAAGTGACCATTGAGCAGTTCTTGGCAATACATCTTACCACAGGTGCACTATGAGTTGATCGATCTACCAAAAACGCCTACATCTCTAAAGACTTGAGAAGGATCCATCTTTGACTCCGCCCTTAATGAACTTAATCTTCTCAGCTAGGGGCTTGGCATACAAATGGCATGATTCCTCATCCTCTCCATCAAATGAAAAAGTCTTAGTGAGTTCGTGCTTCCCTCTCTCTCCCCTTCAAATTTAAAGAAAAAGCGTAAGGTCCAAGTAACCGGGGATTCGGTGGCAAACACCATCAATACTCGCGTCTATGGAAGGCCTATGAATCCAAGCAACCGGGGATTCGGTGGCAAACACCATCAATACTCGCGTCTGTGGAAGATCCAAGCAAAACCTCTATAATAAAGAGAAGGAGTTGAATAAAAAAATACTTCGCTACCCTAAAAAAGGGATGAATCAACTCAAAGAAGTGAGAAGAGAGAGAGGAGAAACATGGAGTAAAAGACAAGTGCCAAACAAGGGGATGAGTAAGAGTCTAAAAGCCGGCTGATCGATACTCCCTAGTTGAGACCACACCTTTAGAAATGAAAGGAGTCAAGGGTGGCGAATTGGATTGTCCAAGGAGAGGTGGACCGCTTTGGGAAAATCGCAAAACTCATGGTATGTACTTTGTTCTTAATTCAAAACTTGCCAATGCTGTTTCATGTGGATTACTAAAGCATAAGTCAATTTGGATTTCCAAAAGATTTGAGAGTTCTCACGTTTTCAAACCTCTTTTCCTGCTTAGTTTGCTTGGGGACAAGCAAAAGGCTAAGTCTGGGGGAGTTGATATCACCATATTTTACATGATTTTACTATATAACTACTATGTTTTCAAACGGTTTTTGCAAGATTCTTTGCCTTTAGAGGTAGTTTTCTTGTATTTGTGGGATTTGAAGTCTTTGTAGGTGAAACCATCAAAAAGGATGCAAAAAGGAGTAAAAGAGCCCTAAACCAAGATCCATGCAAGTTTCCAAGTCAAGAAGATCATTTTATCTCCAAGTGTTAGTTCTCGCTAGCGCGCAGAACGAAGCTTCGGAAGTTTGGCCGCGCGCGGAGGAGTTCCCGACGTCCAAAAGTTACGATCTTGATATGGAAAGATAGATACTTGAGTCATGCATCACGTCGAAGTGGAATGAAGCCATTTGGATCAACTATGAGGCCGGAACTTATTTTCTACCGAGACATGTCCGGTAAGCGAGTAAACGAAGCCCATGGAGGATTTGGAGTGTCTAATGGCCCGAGCAGCAGCGCCAAAGGCCTTGATCGAATAGAGAAGAGGCCTGGCTAATGTTTGGAGCTTTCCTTGGTACAATGTCGGCCCATACACGACGTGGAGAAGAAGGCTCGGCGCATGGGAAACTTTCCTTTTCCGGCATGAAGAAAACCCTACGCGACTTCGCCCATATATACATGTTTTTAGCCGCTGAAGAAGAGAGTCCGAAAATATCAAAGAGTGTACGTGTGAGAAGAGAGTCAGAGAAGAGAAGCCCTAGGAGATCGTCCAAGAAGAAGGAGGCGCCGCTCAACTCTTGTTCTTTCTTTTTCATTGTTTCCATTTCTATAAACTTGATCTTAAGAGTTTTCAAGGGAGAATCCGACTTTGTTCATCAATAGAGAAGCTTTCTTCATCCCTTTATCTCTTTTAATACTTGCATAATGTTTACAATCATGCTTTGCTTGCTTGTTTGCATCATGGCCGAGTAGATCTCTTAGTTAGGCCGAGGAGATCTATGGTGGCCGTGATGATTTGATTGTGTTGCAACTTATTGGGATTTATCTTATGGATCTTCACCTTTACTTGAGCTTAATGCATGATTACTCTACCGTACATCTAGTAATCTGATCTTAGAGAAATAGAACCACGACAGTGCTGAATCTAGATCTCAAAACTAGTATTTGGTGAGCAATAGATCATAGCCAACGAAAGCTGAGTTATGGTTTATTGTGAACAATTGAATCTTGATCACCTTTAATGCATGTTTGCAATTCTAATAGCCAACGAAAGCTGAGTATATTAGGTTGTTTTAAACATAGTGGTTGGAGCCACGACAGTGGAAAGACCATACACTAGTGATTCATGTTCAAGACGGCTCTACACACATCCCATGCAACTATCTTTTCATCATTGCTCCATATGATTGTCCTTTGCCTAACTCTTGTTTTAAATTGTTTACAACCTCACTCACATTTCTTTTGTTTTTTTCTCATTCTAGGTCCAAAACCATCTCATATTGCGAGCTAGCTACAAACCAATCTCACAAGGTGTTAAGTGAGAACACTTCCTCCTCGTGTTCGACCCCGACTACAACACGGCTGTGCACTTGCAGCTCATTAGTTGGGTTTATAAATTGTGAAAATTTGAGGCAATGAGTTGCTTGCATGATCTTTGATTTCAATGATTAGCTAGGGATTATATTAGAGTCTTTGTCTCGTCTTGTGCACTTAACTAATGCTGATTGCTTTACCGCGCATCTAGTAATCCGATCTTAGGTTGATTTGAGCCTCGACAGTGTTGTATCATTCGCCGGACATATTCTTTGACAAGCTAGGTTTCTTAGACTGCGAAAGTTGATCTACTATAATCTAGTGAACTGTATCAGAACCTATTCTAAAGCTTGATTTAATCACCTAGGGACATACCAAAAGTTTAGCGACTAGGTAGATTAACAAAGGAGCCGGAGCCTCGAAAGTGGAATGGTTTTATATTCGTGATCTGTGTTCTAGACGGTTCTTAATATCCCAACATCCCTAATCAATTCATCTATCATTGATCATTGCTTGCTTCTTCCTGTTGACCTAGCGCTTTTCCTTATTGATTTACAACCTCGTTATACTTGCTAGTTCGGTTCACCATTACAACCTCAATCATACTTTTGTTTTAGCTTGATCCAAAATCCATAGTTTCAAAGTGTACTCAATAGCCAGTCCTTGTGTTCGATACCCATACTTCCGCGATCTGTGCACTTGCAGAGGTCTAGGAGTTTGGTAAAACCTGACTCACATCAAGTTTTTGGCGCCGTTGCCGGGGACTGCAGCAGTACCTTTGAACTCGACTAGGATCTAGTCTAGAACCTTTCCTGTTTTGCTTCTTTTGCTTTTGAATTTTCAGTTTTTGATTTCTTTTCTTTGATTTTTGCTTTTGCTTTTGTTTTTCCCTTTTGATTTAGTTTGTTTCCTAGATCTTTTCAGGTGCATGACTAGGAGGTCCAACAAGGACAACCTAGTTGAACATCCAGAGATAGACAAGCTCGAGAAGTTACTTAGGAAGCAAAAAGCCCAAGAGATGGCCGACGAAGCAGCGCTCACGCGCTGAAGTGGCGCGCGCTAATGAAGAAGGAAGAGATCCACCTCCTCCTCCTCCTAATCCACAAGATCCTGCTGGAGATGTGAATGTGCAACCTCAAGCAGACACCAAACAATCGGAGACTATGACTCTGCCGATGCTTTCTTCACGGATAGAAACCCTATCCATCCACCACTTCCTGCAAGGAATGACTATGAGATCAAGCCTCAGATCATAGCATTGGTTAGACAGAACCAATTCAATGGCCTTCCAGCCGAGCATCCTCTTGATCACATAGAAAACTTTGAAGAGATTTGCAGCACTACAAGATCCAATGGAGTCTCAGCTGACTACTTGAAGTGCAAGCTCTTTTCATTCTCTCTTGGCGACAAAGCTTCAAGATGGTTGAAGTCTCTGCCAGCTCACTCCATTACCACTTGGGATGAGTACAAGGCCGCTTTCATCAACCACTTCTACACCAAGCAAAGATCAGTTTCTGTAAGGAACAAGATCTCCAACTTTCGCCAAGCCAACAATGAATCTTTCTATGAGGCGCTAGACCGATTCAAGGAGTACATTAGGGACTGCCCTAATCATGGTTTCAATGAGGGAAACCTATGGAACATCTTCTATCGTGGCATAGACCACAAGTACAAGCTTTCATTGGACACTGCAAGCAATGGAAACTTCATGACCAAGACTGTTGATGAAGCTAAGGTTCTTATTGAGAATCTTGCAGCTAGTGATTGTAACAACTGTCCTGATTATGACCGCTCAAGCCGCACCACTACTAGCTCCCCTGATTCTTTTCAAATGACTGAACTCAAGAACATGATGGCTCAAGTTCTTAAGGGACAGCTCAAGCATATCAATGCAATAGAAGGGATGAGTGATGCTAATGAAGACCCATCAAGAGAATGCATGGGAGATTTCTCTAATGAAGCCAATGAAGAAGATGTGAACTACATTGGAAACTATGGGAACAAGGGATACAATCCAAGCTATCGCCCAAACCCCAACATGTCTTATAGAAACCCCAATGTGGAGAATCCTCAAGACCAAGTGTATCCTCCAAGGTATCCACAACAACAAAGACCTCCTTACCAATCTCAAGGAAGTCAATTCAGCCAAGGCAAGGGTATGAGCAGAGACATCATATCCGCCCAAGGAGCCATATGCTTCTTCACCAAATCAAGCTCCTCCAAACCAACAAGGTGGGAGATTTGAAGGAATCCTCCAACAGATCATGGATGGCCAGAAGAGAATAGCAAAGAGATGTATGAGAAGATGGACACTTTGTTCAGCAATCTCAACACCAAGTATGATGCTGTTGCCACTCATGTGAAGAAACTAGAGACTCAAGTCACCCAAACTATGGAAGCTGTTAAGAGACAGGAAGCTGAATCCAAGAAGTCCTTTTGCAACTCAGCCGCCATAGAAGAAAGATTTGAAGACCAAGTTCCAGAATGGATGCTTTCAAAACCTACTGTTGATTGCATGATTTGGCCTGAAGAGATTACCCAGAGAGAGAGTCCAATCGAGCTAGAAAGAGAAGACTCTTCCCAAAGATTATCCCCAAGACTGATAACTCAGGAAAGTTTGCTGTGCCTTGTGATATACCTCTAATTTACCCACTTTTTATACTGTTTTAGCATTGTTTTCTAATGGTTTTTGGCAGGTTTTCTATCTAAAAAGGTAGTTTTACTGTGTTTATAGTGTCTAGAGTCTAAACAGGTGAAATGATGCATTTTGGAGCAAAACCATAGGATTTGCACTTCAAGCCGCTCCATGCACAAGCACCAACTTTAAGAGGGCCCAGAAAAAGATCTACTCAATGGATTTCATCAAGACCAGTTCCCTGCGTGCTCTGATTGAGTTAACTTTCCAACGCAACTGGAATGGCCTAATTTGGATGAGTAGAAAAGGAGTTACAACCAAAAGAGTGAAGACTGTCCAGACGGCTCTATCGAGAACAGCGCCCAACCGCGCAGTCCGGCTGGCCGAGGAACGCATGTTCCGCGCTCGGCCAAAACGTCCGTCCGTCTGAAGTCTCGGCCAAAGTCCAAAACCACTCGGCCGATCACGCATCACGACCCGGGAAACAAGCCCGCGGTCGGCCACGCCACAACCGCCACGCCACGCCGCGCACGACCAAAGCGCGCGAGCCGGGAAACAAGCCTCGCGGCCGCGCAACTCGCTCGCGTACCCGCCGATGCTCCGTCCGAGCCGGGAAAGAACGTCCCGCGTCCGGCCGAGAGATTTCATCGGCCAAATCTATCCGCCGACCGGAATCCATCCGGCCCGACCGTTCCGACTCGGCCACAACCCGATTGTCCGGCCGATCGTCCCGCACGACCGTCCCAACGCCGCGGTCGACCCGAAGCCCTTTTTGAAGCCCAAACTTATGTTTTCAAGCCCGGCTTAACCCTAAGCCGCCTCTAGAAGACCTAGCACTATATATATGGATTTTTAGCCTCTTGTGAAAAGAGAGCCGCCCTGTATTTCGATTTCCTACTCTAAGTTTTATTGCAATCATGTTTTCTTCATCTCTATGTGTGTTTGCTTTGATCATGTCTGAGTAATCCACTAGTTAGGTTGCTAGGGTTACTATTCAATGAGTTGCTTGCATGATCTTTGATTTCAATGATTAGCTAGGGATTATATTAGAGTCTTTGTCTCGTCTTGTGCACTTAACTAATGCTGATTGCTTTACCGCGCATCTAGTAATCCGATCTTAGGTTGATTTGAGCCTCGACAGTGCTGTATCATTCGCCGGACATATTCTTTGACAAGCTAGGTTTCTTAGACTGCGAAAGTTGATCTATCTATATCTAGTGAACTGTATCAGAACCTATTCATTCTAATGCTTGATCTAATCACCTAGGGACATACCAAAAGTTTAGCGACTAGGTAGATTAGCAAAGGAGCCGGAGCCTCGAAAGTGGAATGGTTTTATATTCGTGATCTGTGTTCTAGATGGTTCTTAATATCCCAATATCCCTAATCAATTAATCTATCATTGTTTCATTGATCATTGCTTGCTTCTCTGCGATAGCCCCTATGACCTAGCGCTTTTCCTTTATTGCTTACAACCTCGTTATACTTGCTAGTTCGGTTCACCATTACAACCTCAATCATACTTTTGTTTTAGCTTGATCCAAAATCCATAGTTCAAAGTGTACTCAATAGCCAGTCCTTGTGTTCGATACCCATACTTCCGCGATCTGTGCACTTGCAGAGGTCTAGGAGTTTGGTAAAACCTGACTCCGCATCAAGTTTTTGGCGCCGTTGCCGGGGACTGCAGCAGTACCTTTGGAACTCGACTAGGATCTAGTCTAGAACCTTTTCCTGTTTTACTTTTCTTTTGCTTTTGAATTTTTAGTTTTTGATTTCTTTTCTTTGATTTTTGCTTTTGTTTTTGTTTTTCCTTTTAGATTTAACTTGTTTCCAAGACTCTTTTCAGGTGCATGACTAGGAGGTCCAACAAGGACAACCTAGTTGAACATCCAGAGATAGACAAGCTTGAGAAGCAACTTAGGAAGCAGAAAGCCCAAGAGATGGCCGACGAAGCAGCTCGCGCTCACGCCGCTGAAGTGGCGCGCGCTCAAGAAGAAGGAAGAGATCCACCTCCTCCTCCTCCTAACCCTGCTGGAGATGTGAACGCACAACCCCAAGCCGGAGCACCTACTTGGGACAAAGCTTCAAGATGGTTGAAGTCTCTGCCAGCTCACTCCATCACTACTTGGGATGAGTACAAGGCTGCATTCATCAACCACTTCTACACCAAACAGAGATCAATTTCTGTAAGGAACAAGATCTGCACCTTTCGCCAAGCCAACAATGAGTCTTTCTATGAAGCGCTAGATCGATTCAAGGAGTACATTAGGGACTGCCCTAATCATGGTTTCAATGAAGGAAACCTATGGAACATCTTCTATCGTGGCATTGACCACAAGTACAAGCTTTCATGGACACTGCAAGCAATGGAAACTTCATGACCAAGACTGTTGATGAAGCTAAGGTTCTTATTGAGAATCTTGCAGCTAGTGATTGTAACAACTGTCCTGATTATGACCGCTCAAGCCGCACCACTACTAGCTCCCCTGATTCTTTTCAAATGACTGAACTCAAGAACATGATGGCTCAAGTTCTTAAGGGACAGCTCAAGCATATCAATGCAATAGAAGGGATGAGTGATGCTAATGAAGATTCATCAAGAGAATGCATGGGAGACTTCTCTAATGAAGCCAATGAAGAAGATGTGAACTACATTGGAAACTATGGGAACAAGGGATACAATCGAAGCTATCGCCCAAACCCCAACATGTCTTATAGAAACCCCAATGTGGAGAATCCTCATTGGATTAAGAGTTCTAAAAAGTAAAGACAATAAATTAAAAGAAAGCTAAAACAAAAGTAATCTAAAGCTTGGTGGTTTTTTCGTGGCTTTTAGCCTTTAAATACAAGAGGATTTAGGTTTAGGGTCAAAGGAAAGTCAAGGGGGAAGCAATATTTTTCGGGTTTCACTTTGACTTCTCAGCTCGATCGAGTTGAACTTGGCCGGTCGAGTTGAGGAACTCGACCGGATGGTCGAGTAGGTGGTCGAGCTGGTCTTCAAGGTGGCTTCCTCCTTCTTCATTTGCGTGTCCAGTTGAGCTGCGTCCATGCACCAAGTCCTTCCTTGCTCCTCACGTCCCATATGCTCCAAAATGCTCCAAAAGACCTATTTCAAAGGACCAAACATGCATATGTAAGCAAATGCAACCTAAACCTACCATGAATGCATAAAGAGAGAAAAAGGAACAAGATATGATGCTAATGGATGCTAAACCTATGCAAAAGATGCATAAAAGATGTACTAAAACTATGTAAAATGCAAGTACATCATACGCCTATGGTTCCCACGATCTGCAGTTCGCTAATCTTCTTCGCCATCATTTGATCCAAGAGTCCAGCGAGCGCTTCATCGCTGTAAAGGTCAGCTGTCGAGTTGTGAGTCGCGCGAGCTTCCTGATATGATCATGGAGGAGGTTGCTGGAACTTGGACCAGGAAGCAGCTGGAGAGCTTGTAGCAGAGGAGGAGCAGCTTGAACCTGAGGAAGCTTTGGAAGCCTTGGCCTTACCAACTGGTCCCATCACAAGGTCCCAGACTAAGATGCTCAACCAAGACATTGGAAGAGTACTTAGCCGTTTGAGTCGGCATGATCAGGAGCTTAAACATTCCACTTTGGTTTGTTTGAGAGCCCAACACTTGGGATAAAGAAGCAAGTGGATTTTAGTGTGCTCTTTTTCCCTGCCAAGGTTTTGTCCCTTTGGGTTTTACTTGGCAGGTTTTTAACGAGGCCTAAAGTCCACTTCCCATCACTTCTTTATTTCATGTTGTTTGGGTCCGGCCCATCACGCTTCATTTTGAACTTTGCCGCTGGCAACTGAAGAGTCCTTTTTCTTGTTTCAAACTTTCATTTATGTTTTGCTTCATTTTCAAGACTGATTGGAGCTTGTTCCAATCAGTTCTCTCTCTCTCTCTCTTCCTCTCTCCCTTATTTGTACTGGACGAAATTTCCCTTAGAGCTTATGCAACCTTGAATGAAAAACCTATTTCCTTTGTTTACTCAAAGATCTCTTAGTGTGATTCTAAGAACCCTTTCTCTTGGTGTGTTAAATCCGAGAAATCCCTTTAGTATAGTTGTGAGTTGTATCAACTATCTTAGAGGTGGTGTTGGAGATTCCTTTCCATTGGATCTCTGGTATAGCCATTCAATCCATTCCCATCTATCCCTTTCATCGATCCATTCATCACTTCATCATCTCAATCCATTCCGCCAAGTTCTCTGGTTCCTTTCATTCCATCATCATCATTCAACCTCTACTTGCTTCAAAGTGCCGATCCTCAACAAGGGGTCTATCAAGTGGTATCAGAGCCACTTTGAAGCTAAGTGAATCTCTCTTTTACTTTTCGATTTTTCATTTGTGCATCTTTGGCAATTGTGACTGTTCATCTTCTGATCTAGATCTGGCCAGTTTCATTTGCTTGCATAATTTTAAAATTGTTGAAATAATTAATCCTGATCACTCTCATATAGATCTATGATGTACTTGCATTTTACATAGTTTTAGCACATCTTTTATGCATCTTTTGCATAGTTTTAGCTTCCATTTGCATCATATCTTGTTCCTTTTCTCTTCTTATGCATTCATGTTAGTTTTAGGTTGCATTTGCATACATATGCATGTTTGGTCCTTTGAAATAGGTCTTTTGGAGCATTCTGGAGCATATGGGACAAGGAGCATGGAGGGACTTGGCACATGGAAGCAGCTCAACTGGATACGCAAAGGAAGAAGGGAGAAGCCATCTTGAAGACCAGCTCGACCGTCTACTCGACCAACCGGTCGAGTTCCTCAACTCGACCGGCCAAGCTTCAACTCGATCGAGCTGGAAGTCAAAGTCAAACCCGAAAAATGTTGCTTCCCCCTTGACTTTCCTTTGACCCTAAACCTAATCCTCTTGTATTTAAAGGCTAAGCCACGAAAAAACCACCAAGCTTTAGATTATTTTGTTTTAGTTTCTTTAATTTATTGTCTTTTACTTTTTAGAACTAATCCCATCTTTGTGTTCTTGAAGCTCTTGCTTCTTGAATCTAGATCCTGGATAATTCTTTGTATTTGCACTTGCTTATTTCAATAAAAGTTGTTTAATTTCATCTCCTCTTTCTTATGATGTCTCTTTTATTGCATTTGCTTGTGTTTACATTCATGTGTAGTGAGTAGTTACCCATTAGGGTTTGAGATGGGATAGATTAGAGGTTTCATATGCTTAATCCTTCTAGCTTATGGTCTTAATCTAGATTCTCTCTCTTTTGGATAGATCTTAAGGCTACATGACCACTACCCCTGGCTTGTAAGTCCTTAGGCGACTCCCCACACGAAAGTGATGGCATTCGCTGGAAAAGATCCACTAAGAGCTCCAATATCTCTTGCTCTAGACAATAGAGGTCTAAGGGGTTGGATGGATTAGTTTGGGCAATGATCCTATAGCCTCCAAGGTTTGATTCTCACTGGCTAACCCCCTGTTTCTGAGATCATTCCTTGGTTGATAGCCTCCACCTTGGGAAAGGGTTGGCTAGGCATTGAGAAGCCCAATATCAAGAGAAGCCTTGATACAAGGAGTTTTAAGAGCTAGATTGATTAAGTGTAGATTCCTTTGATTGCAAAACCCTGTCTTGAACCCTAATTCTCTCTTTATCTTGTTAAAGTCGTCACCTTTAGCTTTTTGTCTCAACTCGACCCTAAACTCGATCGAGCTGGTACTCTGCCTACTCGACTCGAGTCCTTGGTCGAGCTACTTACTGCTTTGTTTACTTTTATTGCACTGCATTTCATTTTTAGGTTGTTAGTGTTACTTCAAATCTATAACTGCTTGCTTGACTTCCTGGTTGTTTCATATTCTCATAGAGTGACAAGTTTCCCATTTTGGATTGATAACCCTTTGTACTACAACTATCATGGTTAAAGGGAATTGTTGACTGTGTTTGTGTTTGCATCTTACCACCATCATATACCACTGATTGCATTCCACTCATCTCATATTTTCACACATCACACACAAATCCTATCATCAATTTGGCGCCGTTGCCGATTTGGGAATATTTTTGTTGCATTTGAGTTTCAAACACACTTGGACGATTGAGTACAAGATAAGGTACAAGGGGAGATCAAGGCCATTCTCTAGAGCCAAGGCCTTGGTGACTTCAGAACAGTCCAGGGACCCAACCAAGCTAAAGGAGCTTCTGTCTCAAGTCCTCACTATCACCCTTGATGGTGGGACTAGCTCAACCAATGCCTAAGAGGTAAAGGTCAAGCTATGGGACCTTAAACAAGCTCACTTGGGAGGAAGTCCCATGTTTATCCTTGTACATACTCTATTTATGCAATTTCTATCTATCTTTATGTTTTTAACCTTTGAATAAGTTAAGTTTAGGTGTCAAAGGAGCCAGCTCGACCGATAGCTCGATCGAGCTAGAAACCAGGGCAACTCGATCGAGTTCCTCAACTCGACCAAGGTAAGTTTTTGAATTTCAAATTCATAACCGTTTTTTGGTCAAGGGAGTGGGTCCCACAAGCTGATTTTGGTCCCCCACTACCCTAATTCGATCAGAGAATCCCTAGTTTCTTGTTCCCTCTTTATCATCTTTTAATCTCAACCACACATCTCAAACACTCCCTCTTCCCCATAACTCGATCGAATCCACTTCCTCTCTCCCACACTCTAAATTTCTGAAACCATCCTCTCTCTCTTCACCACAAGAAAATTTCGAATTTCTCTCTTTCTCTCTTAAGTTTTTGCGATTTCCTTTGTTCTTCATCTTGTTTTGCTTGTTCTAGTTTACTGCTCTTCAATTCCATCATTCAACAAGGTATGAACCCTAAACCCTTGATTACTTCCATCTCGATTCCTCCATTACTTGTTTCCTCTTGATTTTTGATTGCATGTGTCCCTTGGGATTTACTTGAGTAATTGCTTTCTTTTTGCTTCATTTGTATAATCTTGTGAATTTGCCTCACCTCACCTCTGTTTTCCTTTAAACTTGTTGCATGTGCTTGATTGAATTTGAGTTTGGTATTGGTTAAGATGCTTGTTTTCACTAGAATTGCTATTGTTCCATTTACTAGTTGTTCTTGGTTCAATTTGATTGATTAGCATCCTTTCCAGCTCTTAATTTGAATTAGGTTTGGTTATACTCTGTTTTCACCTAGCTCGATCGAGTTTGTCACTCGAGTTTTTTGACTCGATCGAGCTGAGTGTCGAGTTGACCAAACCGACATTACAACTCTAATTCCTTTGAGTTTTTGATCCATTTCAGGAACCCAACTTCAAGAACAACAAGTTCAAGATGTTGAGAGGTGAGGGAAGCAAACAGCGTCAAGAAGGCAAAAGGCAGAGAAGCAAGGAGATTGAGAGAAAGGATGCAAGGATGAAGGTTTGGAGTATGAGAGCGAGACAAGAGAGGAACCAGCAGATGGGGAACCTGAGGCAGGGGATCATGTCTCCTCTGAAGAGCAGTCTGAGAGTGAGAGATTGAGGGAAGAAAGGAGAACCAAGAAGAGAAATGATCCTATTAGTAGTGAGAGCGAGCAAGGAGATTTGAAATTGGAGTGAACCTTGTTCAAGAGGAGGAAATGGTTCTCCAAATGAAGGAAGTGATGAGACTGAGAGTGAAGAGGAAGGAGAAGAGGTGATCAATTGGTTGAGGAAGTGAGCATGAGAACCAATGAGATATGCCAATGGAGGAGGCTGAGGAGAGCAAGAGGAAGAGGATGAGCTCCCCATGTACCAAGAGCACTACAATGCTCTCTTCTCCATGGACTTCATGGACACCAAGTACCCACATGTTGACACATGAAGGCCCTTGGAATCTTTGAAGATGTGGAGTTGGTCTCAAGAACATGCACTTGGCCAAGCTCTTCTCTATCACATGGAATCCTACAAGGAGCTCACTTGCGAGTTTAGCTTCAATGAGGTACCACATGTATGAGGAAGATAGAGCTGATTTGGACCAAGGATTGGGATGGATCACGTTCTTGGCTAAGGGAGAGAAGAGAATGGTGACCTTTAGGCAGCTGGAGATCTTGTTTGGGTTCAACTATGGAGAGGGAACCAAGTGGAACTTCAAGGAAAAGGAACTCCAAAGGGTTTGGGCTACAATCGCTGATGGAGTGTACTCTTCCTCAAGGTCCAAGGCAGCTCAGATCAGGAGCCCAGTCTTGAGATATGTGCACAAGGCACTTGCCAACACCTTCTTTGCAAGGAAGGCGACCGGGACAATCAACGAGGGAGAAGCTCAAGTTTCTTGACATGGGAATCAAGCCCTTCTCTCACGCACAAGCGATGGCAAAGGATAAGGGGAGATAGATCTGACACAGGGAACTTGATGCCTTCCTTGACCAGCTCCTACCTACAAGATCACAGCCTACAACACTAGGCATCAACGAGGAAGGAAGCTAAGTATTGGAGGGCTCATCACACCTATCTTGTGTGCTGCTGGAGTGAACCCAACTGATAGGAGAGCCTACTGAACCAGGTTGGATGGACATCAAGTTTTGCAAGACCAACCTCTCATTGAGCACAAGGAGTTGGATGGGAGGTTCCAATTCAAGTTCACACATCCATTGGTTGGCCCTCCAAGTTTCTCCTGCCCAACCCAGAGCTCACCACAGTTGCAAGGGGTGAGAACATTGACTTCAGACCCCCTGTGTACACATTAGTTGGGCATGAAGGGATTTGCGAGAAGAGGAGCCTGAGCTCGATCGAGCTGAGGATCGAGCTGAGTCGAGCTGAGGATCAGGTCCAGGAGAGTGCGGATTTGGGTGAGCCTGAGTGCTACTACTTTGAGGAGTATGAGGCTCCAAGGATGAACCCCTCTGTTGTGGCTGCCACAAGAGGATTGGACTTCTCCAAAAGTTCAACAAGTGGCAAGGGAAAGCCATGAGAAGATGCAAAAGTCCATGGACAAGATGGTGAGCAAGATCAAGAGTTTGGAGAAGAAGGTTTCTGGTTCTTCAAGCAAGAAGAAGAAGTCCAAGGCCCACATTCCCTAGGAGTAGATCACTCCTCACCACTCCAAGGAGGCTCCCTGCCCAAGAGCCTCACAGAGCCTCTTCATTTCGAGCCAAGGGAAGGAGAGACAACTCGCAGAGAAGGAGGAAGAGTTCCAAGACGCTCCAGCTCGACCACCGGACTCGATCGAGTCCAAACAGAGGAAACTCGATCGAGCTGAGGGTCGAGTTGACCTGGAGGAGCCCCTGTTGAGAACCCTGGGATTCGAGTACGATCAACCCAGTACCAGGACTTCCCCTTCGAGCGAGCACAGCTCCACCAAGGCCAAGGAAGCCACACCACTTTGACGATGAAGAAGAGGAGAAGAGGAGCCGCAAGCTCGATCGAGTGAGCCGAGGAACCCAGTTGAGTGGAGTGCTCCTGATGGCCGTCTCCCATCTCCAGACCACGACCTAGCCTCCCAGTTCTTTGGGGGGCACTGAGGTATCCAAACACCAACCCTTGTATATACCATTTCATATTTTCTTGTTTTGTTCTTGTTTTTCTTGGTTTTGCCCTCTTGAATCTTTCACTAAATTTTTCTCACACAAGGGACTGTGTGATTTAAGTTTGGGGGAGGGTTCAAGAGATGATTTAACCTTGTTTTCTTTGTTCTTAGTTTTTCATTTATCTTTTGCATAGAAAAACCAAAAAAATCATAAAATTTTCAAAAAATCCAAAAATATTTTCATCTTTTTGCATTCATATTTGTTAGACTTGTTTAGGATTGCATTTTCACTTGCATTGTTGATTTGACTTTGAAAACTTGTCCATCTTTTGCGATTTCTTGAGTGCCCTGTTTTTAGATTCTTTTGTGCATTAGGGTGAGATTGATTGAGCAGCAAGAACCATGTTTATCTTGATCATATCACTGCATGCACATCTCATTCAACCATTGCTGTGATTTGATGCATTTCCCTATCTATTTGAACCATAACTTGATCTTTAATTACCAATGCTTGCATTTGATTTCAACTCATGGCTACCACATACATATCTGGACATTCTTTACCATTTTCATATCCCTTTGCTTGTCCAGATAGCTGATCTCTATCTTTGAGACAGTTACCACACCTTAAACCTAAGCCTTTTCATTTCAAACCCCATATTATCTCTTGTGCGAATGTGAGAACCTTTCTTGGCTTTGCTTAGCATAAGGTGTTGTGTTTAAACCGGCAGGGGCAGTAGTTCTAGTTGTCTAGTTCTCTTGGGATTGTTTTCAGGCTAAGTTTGGGGGTGCCAACTCGAGCTCGATCGAGTTGGGTGTAAAAACCAGAAAAGTGGTAAAAGTTGGGAAAAACCCAAAGGAAAAAGAGTTTAGTTAAGTCCAGGGAGTTGGCAGTGTTTAAAAAGGGTCTAGTAAAGGTTTGGGAAGTTAAAAAAGGAAAGTAAAAAGGGTTCTAAGTAGAATGAAAAGAAGGCAAAGCCTCAAGTGTCAAAAAGGAAAGAAAAGTTCCCTAAGTGTTTAGAAAATCCCAAACCGCTAGATGTTACCTCAAGAAGCCTCTCCCTAGGAAGTTCTTAAAAGAAAAGTGAGCAAAGCTCCTCAGTTTCAAAGGCGAAATGCCAAAAAGGGTAGTTAGGATTTTGTTCTAAAAAGCTCTAAGTGTTGAACTCGATCGAGTTAGGATTAGGCGGCTCGAGCTGCTGTTCTTGCATCATCTTTGGTTCTAACACTTAGCCTTCTGCCAAAGCAAAGCCACTTTCTTGAGAGATCCCTGTTACTAAACCACCATACAAAAGAGACCCTCTTTGTCTCTTAACCCATAAACCCTTGAAACCAAATGAGTTGATTGATCTTGCATGTTTTTGGTTCACTGTTTTTGCTTAATGAATGTTAAAGGGATTTGCTGATTTGAATGCATTGTTTGAGTGACTGTGAAGTGGGATTGATGTTGATAAGCATGGTTAAATCTTAATGAATATCTCTCACCTTGTTGCATTCTAGAATCTCTAAGTTGGACATTTAGCAAATCGCTTTTGAGGACATGTTTTTAAGTGTTGAATCAGCTATTTTCAAACCTCATCTCTTTCTTGTTCTATTTGTTTGCTTGAGGGCAAGCAAAGTTCAAGTTTGGGGGTGTTGATGTACTTGCATTTTACATAGTTTTAGCACATCTTTTATGCATCTTTTGCATAGTTTTAGCTTCCATTTGCATCATATCTTGTTCCTTTTCTCTTCTTATGCATTCATGTTAGTTTTAGGTTGCATTTGCATACATATGCATGTTTGGTCCTTTGAAATAGGTCTTTTGGAGCATTCTGGAGCATATGGGACAAGGAGCATGGAGGGACTTGGCACATGGAAGCAGCTCAACTGGATACGCAAAGGAAGAAGGGAGAAGCCATCTTGAAGACCAGCTCGACCGTCTACTCGACCAACCGGTCGAGTTCCTCAACTCGACCGGCCAAGCTTCAACTCGATCGAGCTGGAAGTCAAAGTCAAACCCGAAAAATGTTGCTTCCCCCTTGACTTTCCTTTGACCCTAAACCTAATCCTCTTGTATTTAAAGGCTCTAAGCCACGAAAAAACCACCAAGCTTTAGATTATTTTGTTTTAGTTTCTTTAATTTATTGTCTTTACTTTTTAGAGATCTAATCCCATCTTTGTGTTCTTGAAGCTCTTGCTTCTTGAATCTTAGATCCTGGATAATCTCTTTGTATTTGCACTTGCTTATTTCAATAAAAGTTGTTTAATTTCATCTCCTCTTTCTTATGATGTCTCTTTTATTGCATTTGCTTGTGTTTACATTCATGTGTAGTGAGTAGTTACCCATTAGGGTTTGAGATGGGATAGATTAGAGGTTTCATATGCTTAATCCTTCTAGCTTATGGTCTTAATCTAGATTCTCTCTCTTTTGGATAGATCTTAAGGCTACATGACCACTACCCCTGGCTTGTAAGTCCTTAGGCGACTCCCCACACGAAAGTGATGGCATTCGCTGGAAAAGATCCACTAAGAGCTCCAATATCTCTTGCTCTAGACAATAGAGGTCTAAGGGGTTGGATGGATTAGTTTGGGCAATGATCCTATAGCCTCCAAGGTTTGATTCTCACTGGCTAACCCCCTGTTTCTGAGATCATTCCTTGGTTGATAGCCTCCACCTTGGGAAAGGGTTGGCTAGGCATTGAGAAGCCCAATATCAAGAGAAGCCTTGATACAAGGAGTTTTAAGAGCTAGATTGATTAAGTGTAGATTCCTTTGATTGCAAAACCCTGTCTTGAACCCTAATTCTCTCTTTATCTTGTTAAAGTCGTCACCTTTACTGCTTTTTCTCAACTCGACCCTAAACTCGATCGAGCTGGTACTCTGTTCCTACTCGACTCGAGTCTTGGTCGAGCTACTTGTTTACTGCTTTCTTTACTTTTATTGCACTGCATTTCATTTTTAGGTTGTTAGTGTTACTTCAAATCTATAACTGCTTGCTTGACTTCCTGGTTGTTTCATATTCTCATAGAGTGACAAGTTTCCCATTTTGGATTGATAACCCTTTGTACTACAACTATCATGGTTAAAGGGAATTGTTGACTGTGTTTGTGTTTGCATCTTACCACTCATCATATACCACTGATTGCATTCCACTCATCTCATATTTTCACACATACACCACAAATGCCTTTCATCTATCTATCCATCTACTATTTTTCCCATATTTTAGAAATTGTTTACATAATTTCTAAAATTATTTCTTGATCTTTTCCTTTGAACTATTAACTGCCGAGTTCTTTCCTGTTGTTTCAGGTACTATGGCGGATGGAAAGGAAGATGAAGAAGATTCGAACAAGAGTCTCAGTGAATCCCTTCTGGAACAATGAAGAAGCTCATGAGGGAAGAGTTTGAACGGAGGGAACAAATTAAGGCAGGAAAGCGCAAGGAGTCTAGAGATCACATCCATATCTCGGATGAGGAGGGAGGAACGACCCTATGGCCTCAAGAAGGATGGCCGATGAGCAAGCCAATGCTTACTACAACAGTGGCCATTCCTCTCAAGGAAGCGGCGCCGCTCTAGAAGGCATCGCGATGATCCAGAAAATCTTGGAGGATACAAGATCCGGATTCCCCCTTTCCATGGCAACAACAATCCTGATGAGTACATGGACTGGGAGAAGAAGTGTGAGTTCAACTTCAACTTACACAACATATCCAACATCAACAGAGTCAAACTGGCGGTCTCTGAGTTCAATGACTATGCCCTAAGGTGGTGGGAACAATCGTGACCGCAAGAGAGATTGGTGGAGCTCTTGAGGTCTCTACCTGGGAAGAGATGACAAGGATCATGAGGCAGAGGTTCATTCCTAGCTATTATCAGAGAGAGCTACATTCTAAGCTCAGGAGGCTCACTCAAGGGTCCAAAACTGTTGAAGAATACTTCCAGGAGATGGAAGTGATGTTGCTAAGGGCTAATGTGATTGAGGACAGAGAAGCCACTATGTCCAGGTTCCTTGGAGGGCTCAACCGCGAGATCCAAGATGTGTGGAGATGCAAAACTGTGTGGGCTTAGAGTCTATGCTACACAAGGCCGTCCTGCTGAGCAACAGCTCAAGAGAAAGACACCCTCACGCTGGAGCTGATCAGCGCAGGCCTGATCCAAGAGACTCCAAACCGGCTTTCACACCAAAACCTGAGCCAGAGGAGCCTCTTACAGTCAAGACAAGGACAAGAAAACCAGTTCAACCCTGGTCCTAGAGCTCGCGAGCTTAAGTGCTTCAAGTGTCAAGGCTTTGGACACTATGCCTATGAATGCCGCAACAAGAAGATATGATTCATAAGAGATAATGGAGAAGTGGAGTCTGAGGAAGATCATTGTCTAGAAGCCAGAGCAAGAGCCAGAGCCAGAAGAGTATGAGGCCGTTCCTGTCATGGGAAAGCTCTGGTAGCCAGAAGGATCTTAAGCGCTCAAGTCCAAACCCAAAGGAAGCCCAGAGAGAGAATCTCTTCCATTCACGCTGTCTTGTCCAGGAGAAGGTTGCAGTCTCATTATTGATGGAGGCAGTTGTACTAATGTGGCTAGTGAGGCCATGGTTGAAAACTTGGTCTTGTGACTCAGAAACATCCCAAGCCATATCAGTTACAATGGATCAATGAGACTGGAGATATGAGCGTGAAGGAACAGGTGCTTGTGCCACTATCTATTGGAAGCTATGAAGATGAGATTTTGTGTGATGTCCTGCCTATGGATGCTGGACACATCATTTGGGAAGGCCTTGGCAATCTGATAGGCGAGTGATGCATGATGGTTTCACAAACAAGTATACTTTTCCTGCACAAGGGTGTATGAAGATCAAGTCAGCTGTGCAGTCAGAGAACCAAACCTCAAGCCAAGAAGGAGCCACCCAATCCAATCAAATCCTTGAACTATCTGGTCAAGTCCAAACAGGTTAAAAGTTCCATGTCTTCTGATAAGCCTTTTCTCTTTTTATCTTTAAAGGATCACTTAACCTTCTTGTTGATAATGCACCGGAGATTCCGAGTGAGATGTCTAACTTTTACAGGATTTCCAAGATGTGTTTCCAGATGATTGCCCAAAAGGATTGCCACCAGTCAGAGGCATTGAGCATCAAATAGATTTTGTTCCTGGATCCACACTTCCAAACCGTCCAGCATACAGAACCAATCCTGTTGAAACCAAAGAACTCCAGCGCCAAATTGATGAGCTTATGGATAAGGGTCACATCGGGAAAGCATGAGTCCTTGTGCTGTTCCTGTTCTTCTTGTGCCCAAGAAAGATGGGAGTTGGCGCATGTGTGTGGACTGCAGAGCCATCAACAATATCACTGTAAAGTATCGACATCCTATCCCTAGACTTGATGATATGCTTGATGAGTTGCATGGTTCTAGCATTTTCTCTAAAATTGATTTAAAAAGTGGTTATCATCAGATTAGGATGAAAGAAGGTGATGAATGGAAAACTGCATTTAAAACTAAACATGGTCTTTATGAATGGCTTGTCATGCCATTTGGTCTCACTAATGCACCTAGTACATTCATGCGCTTAATGAACCATATCTGAGAAACTTCATTGGTCATTTTGTTGTGGTTTACTTTGATGACATCTTGATTTACAGCAAGAACCTTGAAGAGCATCTAGATCACCTTGCATCTGTCCTGTCTGTGCTAAGAAAAGAAAATTGTTTGCCAATCTTAAGAAATGTACTTTTTGCACAGATAATGTGGTTTTTCTAGGCTTTGTTGTGAGTGCAGATGGAGTCAAGGTGGATGAAGAGAAAGTTGCAGCATCAGAGAATGGCCAAGTCCTAAGACAGTGAGTGAAGTCAGAAGCTTCCATGGCCTAGCTGGGTTCTATAGGCGGTTTGTCCGTGATTTTAGTACCTTGGCCGCACCTTAACTGAAGTCATCAAGAAAGAAGTTGGATTCAAGTGGGAGAAAGCACAGGAGGATGCTTTCCAGCTCTCAAGGATCGCTTGACTAATGCCCCTGTTCTTATTTTACCTGACTTCTTGAAAACTTTTGAGATTGAATGTGATGCTTCAGGTATAGGCATTGGAGCTGTCTTGATGCAGGACAAGAAGCCAATTGCTTTCTTTAGTGAAAAGCTTGGAGGAGCCACTCTCAACTATCCAACCTATGACAAAGAACTCTATGCCTTGGTCCGCGCCTTACAAACTTGGCAACACTATCTCTGGCCAAAGGAGTTTGTCATCCACACAGACCATGAATCTCTCAAACATCTCAAGGGCCAACAGAAGCTCAACAAGAGGCATGCCAGGTGGGTTGAATTCATTGAGACATTCCCATATGTCATCAAGTACAAAAAAGGTAAGGACAATGTTGTAGCCGACGCATTGTCCAGGAGGTACACTCTTCTCTCAACTCTTGATGCTAAACTCTTGGGCTTTGAACAGATAAAAGACTTGTATGCTTCTGATTCTGATTTTGCTGAGATTATAAGTCTTGTTCTAAGTTTGCTTTTGGCCGATACTACCAACAAGATGGGTTTCTCTTCTATGAGAACCGCCTTTGTGTGCCTAATTGTTCTTTGAGGGACTTGTTTGTCAGGGAAGCACATGGAGGAGGCTTGATGGGACACTTTGGTGTGGCCAAAACACTTCAAGTCATGAGGGATCATTTCATTGGCCGCACATGATCAGAGATGTGGAGAGGATTTGTTCTAGATGTGCAACTTGTAAACAATCCAAATCTAAGGTTCAACCTCACGGTTTGTACACTCCTCTCCCTATTCCATCTCATCCCTGGACTGATATATCCATGGATTTTGTGCTTGGATTGCCTAGGACTAGAACTGGAAAAGATTCTATCTTTGTGATAGTTGATAGGTTCTCAAAAATGGCTCATTTTGTGGCATGTCGTAAAACTGATGATGCATCTCATGTAGCTGCTCTGTTCTTTAAAGAGATTGTTAGATTGCATGGCATGCCGCGCACCATTGTTCTGATCGTGATACAAAGTTCCTGAGTTATTTTTGGAAAACTTTGTGGTCTAAGTTGGGTACTAAGCTTTTATTTTCTACTACTTGTCACCCTCAAACTGATGGCCAAACTGAAGTTGTTAATAGGACTCTTGGAACTTTGTTGCGCGCCTTGATTAAAAAGAATCTTAAAAGCTGGGATGATTGTTTGCCACATATTGAGTTTGCATATAACCATGCTGTGCATTCTGCTTCTAAGTTTTCTCCATTTGAAATTGTTTATGGGTTTAAGCCCATCTCTCCTTTGGATTTGATGCCTTTGCCTTTGAGTGAAAGATTAAGCACAGATGGAAAGCACATAAGGCAGAGACAGTCAAGAGGATCCATGAGCAAGGCAGAAGGAACATTGAGGCCAAAACCAAGCAGTATGCTCAACATGCCAACAAGGGCCGCAAAGAAATGGTCTTTGAAGTGGGAGACAAGGTTTGGATCCATCTGCGCAAAGAGAGGTTTCCGGCCGAGCGCAAATCCAAACTTATGCCAAGGATAGATGGACCATTTGAGATCACCAGAAGAATCAACAACAACTCCTACCAAATTGATCTCCAAGATGAACCAGATTTGAGGACAAATCCTTTTCAAGAGGGAGGGGATGATATGATCATGGAGGAGGTTGCTGGGAACTTGGACCAGGAAGCAGCTGGAGAGCTTGTAGCAGAGGAGGAGCAGCTTGAACCTGAGGAAGCTTTGGAAGCTTGCCTTACCAACTGGTCCCATCACAAGGTCCCAGACTAAGATGCTCAACCAAGACATTGGAAGAGTACTTAGCCGTTTGAGTCGGCATGATCAGGAGCTTAAACATTCCACTTTGGTTTGTTTGAGAGCCCAACACTTGGGATAAAGAAGCAAGTGGATTTTAGTGTGCTCTTTTTCCCTGCCAAGGTTTTGTCCCTTTGGGTTTTCCTTGGCAGGTTTTTAACGAGGCCTAAAGTCCACTTCCATCACCTTCTTTGTCTCATGTTGTTTGGGTCCGGCCCAACTCTTCATTTTGAATCTTGCCGCCACTGAAGAGTCCTTTTTCTTGTTCAAACTTTCATTTATGTTTTGTTTCATTTTCGAGATGATGGAGCTTGTTCCAATCAGTTCTCTCTCTCTCTCTCTTCCTCTCTCCTTTATTTGTACTGGACGAATTTCCCTTTCAGTTTATGCAACCTTGAATGAAAAACCTTTTCCTTTGTTTACTCAAAGATCTCTTAGTGTGATTCTAAGAACCCTTTCTCTTGGTGTGTTGAATCCGAGAAATCCCTTTAGTATAGTTGTGAGTTGTATCAACTATCTTAGAGGTGGTGTTGGAGATTCCTTTCCATTGGATCTCTGGTATAGCCATTCAATCCATTCCCATCTATCCCTTTCCATCGATCCATTCATCACTTCATCATCTCAATCCATTCCGCCAAGTTCTCTGGTTCCTTTCATTCATCATCATCATTCAACCTCTACTTGCTTCAAAGTGCCGATCCTCAACAAGGGGTCTATCACTTCCATTCCGTTCGTTGGTGTTGAACCTCCGTTTGGTGCATCTCCACTCGCTCCGGTTTCGTCGTACGTGTTTGATCTGTTAAGAGGAGGCAGATCGGCGGCTCCGCTTCCTGTTTCTGCTCGTCCTCCCGCTGCTGTGACAGGAGTCGTGAAGGTGAGCGCCACATGATCGATGCCGTTCATTCCCGCGACTCCTCTTGCTCCGCCTTCCTGTCGTTGGGTGGCTCGAAGGGTCTCCAACTTTCTTGTCAGTGTACGGTTTAGTGCATCTTGCTCGTCGGCTTTCTTCTGCAGGGCGGCTATCATCTCTTGCATCCTCGCCGGATCGATCGTTGCGTCTGGAGCGGCTTGTTGATCGGCTCTTTCTGTTGGCGTTCGTTGCTCCGCGGTTGGATCGCCTCCCGGCGGGATGATTCCCGTTGCGTTCGCTGCTGATCCAGTCATATCTTCAGATCACTAATGTTTTTTGAGTAAGAAATCTTCTAAACCCCCTCCTTCTAGCGCCAAATTGTGGGAGCTGGAATCTGCACAATAGATTCAAGAGATGTTTTTAAGAGAGGGCCTAGAAATTCTAAGTATAAAACAAACCAAGATCGAAAGATGGTTGTTTTATTGATGTAAAGTGTAAAGCGTTGTGTGATGTGTAGCAGGGAAAAAATTGATCCCCGAACTCATTTGGTTCGATCTATATTTATACAAGGTAGAGAACCGACTTTTTCCGAGATTCTCTAAAGATATTCTTAAGATTTGTAGTTATCTCTTGCGGCGCCGCTGGTTTGACGCTTGTTAACTTTTAGGGTGAACCTCAGAGCTTCGTTCGTGGAATTTAGCTCGAATCGTCTTAGTAGGATGTTGGTTCAGCCCACGAATATCTATAGTTCGGCCCATACTCTTTATCACGTCGTTCTCGGCTCGTCTTCACGTGGAGTGCAGCCTTCCATCAAGCAATATGTTCTTGTCACGAAACCCATCAGAATGCACGCAGCTCAACGCAAGTTAGCTCATCTTGACGCAATCCTTAATAGCTCGCCGAACTGTGGCTCGTCAAGGTTCTCCTTGCCGCAGATGTCACTCTTGCCTCGTAATTTGCACGACGAACTGCAGCTCATCGAAGCTCACTGTTCCGCACTTGCAGCTCTCCATGGTTCGCGTATGTTGAGCTCGTAATGAGTATTCTGACCCCAACAGTTGATCTTGGTTCATAGTTTGAAAGGAGAACTGCAGCTTTGTCGTAGCTCGTTGCACCGTACTCACAACTTTTCATGGTTTGCGGACGTTGAGCTCGGAGGGAGAATTCCGATCCCAACAATACCTCTATTTTACATGCTTTTTATGCTATTTTACTATGGTTTTCTAATGGTTTTCTAGTGGATTCTTGTCTTAAAAGGTAGTTTTTATGGATTTATACTGCAAAGAGTCATTTTAGGTCAAAAGGTGCATTATGGAGCAAAACAGAGGATTTGGACTTCAAACCAGTTCCTGTCACAGCATCTACTTTGGGAGGAGCTAAAAAAGATCTACTCAATGGATTTCATCAAGACCAGTTCCCGCGTGCTCTGAGTGAGTTAACTTTCCAACGCAATTGGATTGGCATCATTTGGATGAGTAGAAAAGTTATGATCAAATTAGTGAAGACTGGTCCAGACGGCTTATCGAGAATTCGCATCCAAGCCGCGCACGCCGGCCGATCGAGGAACGAACATACCGCGACCGTGCCGCCACGTCCTGCTAAGTCCACGGCCAATCCCACATACCGACCCGGGAGCATCTCCCGCGGTCGGCCAACTCACTTCACATGCCACCATCCGTGCACGACCACGCCGCGCGAACAGGAAGGCAAAGCTCGCGGCCGCGCGGCACAACCCATGTACCGCGGCCGACCCATCCGCGACAGGAAGGCATCGTCCCGTCCGGCCAAGATTCATCGGCCAAAACCTTTCATCCGTCCGACCCCGTCGGCCGAACACGAAAACTATCGGCCACGATCGTTCCGACCGTACCGATGCCGAATACGATCCGACGACCGGCCGACGTCCCGACCGACCGTCCGAACGGTCCGGTCGACCCAAAGCCGTTTTTGAAGCCCGTTTCACACGTTTCAAGCCCAATGCCGGCGCCGACTTACTAGATTAGGTCTAGCCGCTTTTCTACTTAGCATTATAAATACTTCTTTTTAGCCTTGTAACTCAAGAAGGAGAGAGACCACAATTTACTTTACATCTTTAATAAAGTTTTGCTTGCTTTTACTTTGTTCTTGCTTGTTCTCTTTCTAGAGAGGATTCGAATCTCTGTTCTTATGAATATGAATTCGTGTTCCTTCTCTATGTCTGAGTAGTTTACTTGTTAAGTGATAGGAAGTCAAAGGATAGCATTCATGTATGCTTGATGATCGATCACATGAATTAGGGTTTTACTTATAATCTTCATCTTTGCTTATACTTAATGCTTGTTGTTAATCTGGCCAATTAGCATATGATCTAAGGTTGATTTGAGCCTCGAAAGTGCTGTATCATTCGCCTGAACTAGTATTTGGTGGGCAACCTCTTTTAGACTGCGAAAGTTGATTTACTTGTAGGTTGTGAACAATTGAACTTAATCGAACTAATGCTTGATTTAATCACCTAGGGACATACCAAAAGTTTAGCGACTAGGGAGATTAACAAAGGGGTCGGAGCCACAAAGTGGAAAGATCATACCATAGTGTTTCGAGTTCTAGATGGCACCTAATTGCAATAACCCTAATTGATTGATCTTGCTTCATGAATTGCTTATCTTAAGACTATCCTATTGCTTAGCCCTCATCTCCTATTGATTTCAATCTTTCTTATTACTTGCATGCCTTTACTTTCACTGCACTCAACCAATCTCATACTGTTTGCCCTAGCTCGATCTCAATCTTATAGTTTGTAGTGTGCAATCTGGTCCTCGTGTTCGATACCCGTTTACTACTTCTGACCTGTGCACTTGCAGAATCAGGGATAGGAAAAGGGAAGACCTGATCCCGCGATCATAGAGCGACCACTGAGCCAACATGATCGTGCTGATCCTCCTCAATCGAAGACGCCAACTCTACTAAGTCCGTCCTCATCGGCATCCAGCCCTCGGTTGCTCAGCCTCTGCAGCTCTTTGCTGCACCTGTGCCACTAGAGGTACTCATGGAGCCTGCTGGCGGAAAACGTGCCAACATATATGTCAGTAACCCCACCACCAAATCATCACGACCCTGAGCTGGGACAGCACACACACCTGGAGCCGCCTCCATTCCCACACTCGAGCGCTCAAACTGTCTTCACTTGCCATAGAATGTGACTGAGTCAATGAAGAAAAAGACAAAGAAAAACTGAAACAAAGAGAAGATGACAGATAAGACAAAGACGCTAAGAATTAGAAAAAGCTGAGATCGTTAGAGAAAAAGAAACATAAGAAGAAGTCACTCACCTAATCTGAATCTGCTTCTATCAAAACAGAAGACTACAAAGTGATAAAAAAAAACAAAGAAAATGAATAATTTAGGAAAAAAGTAAAATAAAAGAATTGTCAGAAGATATGACATATTCAAAATGTATAAGATAAATGAAAAAATGAAAATGAATAAAAATCAGAAAAAAAGACAGATATAACATAAATGATGAAAACAAAGATGAGAATATCAAAGGTTAGTACATTATTTCATAAATAAGAAATTTGAAACTATATCAATATAATTTTGTGCAAGATGATAAGCACAAAGAAAAATATATGAAATTGATTATTGTGGTATTATAAACTGTGAAATAGTCATCCAGAATGTTTGGTGTGGTCAAAGGAAAATTGATATGTGGTCAAAGGAAATAAACCACGAGTCATGCGATAGAAATATTTAACGGTGTCATTTTACGTCAGCGACATTTGGGTTGGTGTACTTATTTGACTTTTAGTTAAAGCTAAAAGAAGGATTTCAAGAAGTGCCGTTTCTGAAGAGGCGCTGTTTGACAAGAATGCTGTTAACAAATAACAACGCCTTTCGCATTTTATCTCTCAAAAATGATTAAACTTGAGAGATCTCAGATCTAACAGTATAAAATTTGATTAACAAGTTGTCTTCCAAGTAACTACGCATCTTGTGGCCTCGGGAATCTTGTATATGGCTGTGCCCGGGTAACATCTTGCTTCCTCCTCCACCAGATCGTTGCACATACAATTGCAACGATAGTGAGTAAAGTGAGGCTTACAATGATGATGATCATCATACCTCTTCGATGATGAGAAGGCTGAGGATTGTTTGGCGTTAGAGCTGAGCCTTTTTCTAGCATGACGTTTCCTTCCAGCTTCCTACAACAACATTAATAAAAGCTTACAATCATTAACTAACAATTTTGTTATCACACACTTGTAATCACTTACAGAATCCTCAGAGAAGTCAACTTGGATCCAAGGCTTTCAGGAATAGACCCATTTAAAGAATTATAAGAAAGGTCTCTGCAAAAAGAAAAGAAAACAGCGTAAGTTTCAGGTTTCAAATTTTTTTGATTAAGTGACTTGCATGACTGAACCAGAATACTTACAAAACTTCCAAGGACTTCATGTCTCCAAGAGATTCCGGAATGGTTCCACAAATACTGTTGTAACTCAAGTTTCTGCAAGCGGAGAAGGAAAGGGGTCTGTAATTTAAGGTTTTTGATCCAGAAACTCAAGTAAAGAGATCAGTTACTTACATGCTCTTGAGATGGCTTAGTCTTGATACATTCATTGGTAGGAAACCTTTCAGACCTTGTCTGTGAAGGTCACTGCGAAAAACAAATGTTCATCCATTTAAGCTCTGAAGAAAGAACATAAATTAAAATGTACTCATAATGTATCTTACAGTGTAGCAATCACCCATGTGCTCCTGTTTTTCCCATTTTCACACTTAACGCCAGACCATGAGTGTTGTACCGGGGCACATGGATCACCGTTCCATCCAAGAAGAGAAGGAACTCCTAAAGCTTTTTTTAATTCTTTTAGCCCATTGGCTGAAAGAGAAACAAAGATTGTGATAGCTACTTTGAATCACGAAAGGAAAAACATAAGCTAAAAGAACAAGTGTGGATTGTGTACCTTCATCTCTTGTCGTTTGAAACTCCCTTTTTACAACCTCAAGTATCTCTATGGCATTCATGAGAGCATGATGCCCTGTTCTGGGATGTAGAACAATCCTCAAGATATTTTCAGTCACAGCAATGGTTACATTAAGAACAACCGCTGTATATCCTTGACCTCCCATTCTGAAAATATCAACATCTTGACAAACTACCTTGTCATTCACTATAATATCGAAGACTCTTTTGCCTTCAGTAATGGAACTATTAATTTCTGCAAAGTGAAACCACAGCCAATAGGTTTTCAAAGCCTTCACACTGATAATGAAAGTCATATCAGGTTCTTCATCTGTACTGACTAGAGCTGACTGATAGATCTGTTCAGGAAAAAAGTTAGGTGAAGCAGAAACATTTGCAATAGAATTCTCTGTATAGATCCGAGAACCAGAATTCTTAGCAAACGATCCAGCTGGAGTCCAAAACCTATTAGCACCCCAAATATTCCCGCCGTAGTCTTCATCAAATTTGGGCTTACGAGCACCGCAATTTAACCTGATGACAGTTCTGAAAACCACTCTTTTGTCCCAACGTTGACCAGCATCATATGCCATGTCATGAATTTGTAGCAGCTGGATTGCGAGAATAGTTGGATCTCCATGACCAACACTGTGAAAACAGATTGTAGCCGTACCATTAAGTAGAGAAATCAGCGATTCTGAAAATGCTTGATCATCATGGTTACTCCAGCCGGGCAGCAATGAATACACCTCAGTTCCTTCGATTGATATGTCATATATCGGCTCTCCAGACAACTTTACTAACCCAAAGAAAATGGTAATCGAATACCTTCCCTTTGGAATCCGAGCAAAGTTGTAGCAGCTCGTAGGTCCGAAAGAGATAGGAAAGAACCTTACGGTTTTCAGGGTAGGGGTGATATCGCTTGGTAGGGTTGCATTAGCTGTCAATCCTCCTGTGTAGGATGCGTCTTTGTGCCAAAGTGTATACGTAGGTGGCGACTCCACATCTGCTTGTGCTCCACAACTAACTCTAAAAAAATGTGGTACTGCAAATGCAATGCAGAAATGAAACTGAGAAACCAGCGTAGCAATGGAATCCATGTAGATTAAAATGGAAATACTAAACTAATTAGCAAAGATAGGAACTCGTATTGTCTAACAAAGATTCTGAGCCCTTATCACAGAAAGAGTACCCAAGCAAATTGACAAAAGCTAACCAAAGCAATCATCACAAGAGACTCTCGAAACTGAAAGCCAGCCAAGTAATTTTCAGCTACTGTCTAACAGAGATTAGAGAAATGTTTCCAACTAAACTGAAAGCTGTAAATAACGATTCTGTATCCATCGCGAGAGAGAGAGAATAGTTGCTGAAAGCGAACCTGGTTGAGCCAAGGAAAATGAGAGACCAAACGCTAGAAGACATGCAATTAAGCGAAACACCATCATTTTGAACCTACAACAATATAAAGTGGACAGAGTCCAAAATCAAATTTCTCAAACGTGACGTTTTTCTTCGGCAACTCTATTTAAAACTCCAAAAACGAACTTTTTTCCTGAGATAAGCCGTCACGAACGTCCTCTACATATAAGTAAGGATATTACAAACAATTTACCAAATTCCTCTATATTTTTATTCACGCATTTCATCGAACACCAGTCACGCAGCTGAAAACAGAATCGTCGACTCAAGGAGTTGATGAAATCTAAAAGCTAGAATATACAACAACAATAATCAATATCATCAGCTGTTTCTAAGTAACCCAAGTGAAACGGGAGATGAAATTTAACCTCTACCAACGCGAAGGAACGGCCGAGCGGCAGCAATTTCCGGCTGAAAGTTGCGGTGAGGGGATTCGAACTTTCTCAGGAAAGAGGAGATCTAAGACACTTGATGAAATCTAAAAGCTAGAATATACAACAAAAGTAATCAATATCATCAGCTGTTTCTAAGTAACCCGAACAAAAGTAATCAATATCACAAACCTCCACCAACGCGAAGGAACGGCCGAGCGGCAGCAATTTCCGGCTGAAAGTTGCGGTGAGGGGATTCGAACTTTCTCAGGAAAGAGGAGATCTAAAACACTTGATGAAATCTAAAAGCTAGAATATACAACAAAAGTAATCAATATCATCAGCTGTTTCTAAGTAACCCAAACAAAAGTAATCAATATCACAAACCTCCACCAACGCGAAGGAACGGCCGAGCGGCAGCAATTTCCGGCTGAAAGTTGCGGTGAGGGGATTCGAACTTTCTCAGGAAAGAGGAGATCTAAGACACTCTCATAAAGACTCTTCTTGGCCCAGAGGGTTTGCACAGCATTAGGATTTACGAGTAGATGTTACATTGTTACTTGTTAGGGGAAAATAAATAAATCTAAAAATTATACCGTAAGCTATAGACTTTTATTTCTGAAATTTTTCATATTCAATATTTTAAAATTTATCACGACACCATCTTTTATACTATTAGATTCAGAGAATTTGAATTTAAAATAATCATAAAAACCAAATAATTATTTTATATATCACCGATGAATTAAACAAAACGCAATGATTTGCAGTCGAGGTGTCGTCAAATGGGGGACATATACCGCGGGTATGAGACTGAGACCAGTCGACATGATGAAATTTCTCTTTAATAACAATTTAGAAAAAAAAATGGTGAAATTTATTTATTTAGAGGTGAAAAATAAATCATGTTTATAAAAATGCTTGTATAAAAGATCAAATGACCATTATATCACATTAAACTATAATTGTTTTAACTTATCATGAAATTAAATATATAAAATCAACAAAAATACATTGATAAAATACATTGATAAAATAAAGAGATCTTAATCCCAAGATCAAATGACCAAAGATTTTTGCAATGTGATTTTCTGGTTATTTATCAATAAGTCTACTCGTTAATATAAGGTATAGTTTCGCAATTGATTTTTTTAAATCTTAGAGTCATACACTTCTTCAAGAAGTCTACCTTCTTCCTTTAACAAACAATAAAATTGGTGTATGGTGCATAGACTTCCTCAAGAAGTCTTTTTTCCGAAAAGGTATAGTTTTTCAATTGATCGAATCACGACTTTCTTTTAGAAATCTACTTATGAAAGAGTATAAATTTACAATTGACCAAAGTTGATTTTTCTATAGACTTCTCACTGGAGTCTACTTCACCCAGATGTCTATTGGTAAACGATGTGAATAGTAAATAGATTTCACTGAGAAGTCTACTGTCAAGTCAACGTTGGTCAATTGTAAAACTAGACCCTTCTCTATCGTACTATACTTCATGTTGAAGTCTATTTTGACAAAGAAGTCTACTTCTAAAAAGTCATCTTGGTCAACCATAAACCTATACCTTTTTATAGTAGATTTCATTGTTAGATTTCTCTTGAAAAATTGTGATTTGGTCAATTGCAAATTCTAATCCTTAAACTTCATAGATTTTTCTGTGAAATTCTACACTTTCTATTTTAATAAGAAATCTACTGACTGTAAGATGACTAACTATTTTTTAAGATTTTCTTCTACAATAAGTTATGTTAATTTATTTATTTGTTTGTGTATCATCTTAACATGCTAATCATTATATTTTGAGTGGAAACAATTTTCTTGTTTTGTTTGAACACTAGGTCATCATATAGTAGGACTTAAATAAGAAGTCTACTTTGAACAAAAAAAAATAATAATAATGAGAAATCTACTTACGTAACTATTAATATATTGTGTCTTGGTCTTTTTATACAGAAAATGGTATTCATAGGTGCTGTTTATGACAAAATGGCTGAGGAAAGACAATGGATCGTGAATGTTTGAAGTGGATTATGATAAAGGATGGATAATGTTCTCATTGAGAGATGATATATAGATTTCTATGTTATACACATAAAAACCATGTTATATAATGTTATATAAACTTCCTATGTTATACTTGTAGCTTGATTCCTTATGTCATGTCTTAGACAAGTTTTAAAAATATTTTAATAATAAATGTTAAAAATAACATGCATGTTAATATATACTTTCTCCGTTTCAAATTAGTTGTCGTTTTGGCAAAATGTATCTGCAAATATTTGGACGTATCTGGACGTGTTTTGCATTGCAGATACGTCCAAATATTAACAGATTCATTTTGCCAAAATGACAACTAATTTGAAACGGAGGGAGTATATGTTGAGTAGGATGACACTAGGGCTTAGCAAGATGAGACTACGATTACAGGAAAACATGCTAAAAATTTTACACAACTTGTGATGGATGGATCCATTAAAATTGTTTTATTTTTTGTATGATTATTATTAAAGATATGTAATAAAAAATATTTAACTATAATTTAGTGTTAATATTTTTTTGCTGATGTGGATAGGTTAGGTGGAGATAAAAATCTCTCAATATATGTAGAATTCAATCTCAGTCATAAGCATATTGTCATAATCTTATATATAATTAGGGAGTTGCTCTCTCCTCTTAGAGTGTCCACATCAGCAAAAAAAAAAATACAAATTAATTAAATCAAAATTAATGATTCAATTAATACATACACTTTCATAATATCATTGAATGATTTATTATTCAACCAAAAATATAAAAATGTATTAAAAAAAAATGATTAATAAAAATATAAAAGACAAAAATAAATAAAAATTGGTTGAACTTAATATTTAAAAGATTAAAAGTTAATTTTTAACAGTAGATGCAAGAGATTTGTTTTTAAAAGAAAAAAATGTACTGAAAATTTAAAATGTCTAAAATTCATAATAATATATATTATGTAAAAAGATAGTGTATGTAATAAAATTTCATGGAAAATGTTTAACTGTTGAAAGCTAACAGTTAAATTTAAGTAATAAAAATAAGTTATATATAAAACTAAATTATTGATTTTGATGTTAAAAAAAACTAAAGTATTGACTATTTCTAACATTAAAAAAAAATCACTCAATTTTTTTTGTTTGTATAAATATTTAATAAATAAACATCAATATCATATATACAGAACAACACATAAAGGAAAAACATTAAAGCACAGTTTGTAAAGTATATAAATGATGATGAACAACCAAAAATATATGCAAACAACCCCGCGCTTGCGCGGAGTACATTTCCTAGTATGACTTAAATATTGCACTTTTATTGGTGAGAAACCTATTAAATATCTTATCAATATAACGTTATTATTTTAATGTATTTTATTTTAAAATCTCATCACATTCTTCTGCTTCCATTTGTGAAGTATCCATCAAATGCCTCATTAATAGAATTTTAATATCTTCCATTTGATTTATCATAAAAAAAAATTGAAGCACTTATAAAGAGACATGTATGCCATGTAAATGATTTTTTCTCAAAGTCTCTCAAGTGTTTAAGGATTCGTGGAACTGACAACATTGGGGACATCAAGAGCTAAAGGAGCACCTGCGGGCATTAGAACTGAAAGTTGGTGCTACTCTACACTACAGCAGTCAGCAGCATGTCGAAAGAAAGATATTTTCTGATGAAGCATACTCCTTTGGAAAAGTTCCATTAGAAACATTCTGCCAAACAGGTGGCTGACTGTATTACATTAAGTGAGGCCAAAGTGGCGGAGACAATCGAAAGAACAAAAAGAAATATCCCTTGACGAATGAAGAGATGGAGCAATAACGCGAGAGTGAAAGGGGAAAAGCTCATGACGAGAGGAGAGGTTTGTCAGAGAACTTACAGTCCGCTGAAACCGCCAATGGGAAAGACAAGGATTGAACAAGTGGAGGCCAGAACTTGAACAAGACTATGAAGACCGTACTTGAAGAACAAGACTGTGACTCTACTTAATGGAATCTTAATCAAATATTCCTTTTAATGAGCTACTTTGTTAAATTAACCATTCCTCATTTTTATAGATCACTTGATGAAACCAGTTGAATTTCATGTAATAAGATTTACGCAGAGCCAACAATTTGGATAGGAAAACAAAAGAGTACAAATTTTTAGGTTGAAGGTGAAATGCTTCAAATTCATAATGTTGGACATTTAGTATTTAGCTTTGAGAAGACAAATCACTCGAGTAGAAAATCAAGACAATGAGATTTCTCAACCCTATTGTAAAAGTTGTCTCACAGTCA